ACTGGTCTTTTTGTAATTAATCCGACCAAACCAACAAAGGTTATTCTTAGTTACTCCATTAGAACTCAAAGAAAACAAACTATTTTCTTTGTGTAAGCAAAATACGATGACGCCCTAACATCCATTATTTGTCTGCATTAATGAAGATCGACCATGTAACAATGCCTCAATGCATACCCTAGGAGGGAAGTAGTTAAGCGGAGTATCTTAATATAGAAGTAATTGAAATCCTTTTGCCAACTCATCGAAAACCAAGGAGAGGGAAGTAGTTGAGCGGAAGGGGAAGAAGTTGCATGTGCCATCTTAATTAATGAGCTCTTTTGATCTCTCAATGAACTTAAACGTTATTTGAAGTTTCTATGTTCCATCATCAGTTTTAGATTACTATTTATACATAAACCACTAATTTTAGAATTTAGAAACTTTTCTATTCTTCTTTTTACTGAAAAATAGAAACTGTGGACTAAAAGTTTCTTGAATTATCATTAACTTATTTTTCTTTGTGTTTTAGTTCTATTTTTCCCCATCTTTTAATAGGATTTTTCCTTTCATTTAAACTAAAACTAAGATTAAGATATTTTCAGGGTTTCTATAAAATATCTTTGAATGATTAACATATATGGATGATTTAACATTTAATTGTTTTGGGAATTTAACATATATTCTCAGGATCATATTAACATATATAATTTGGTGAGATAATCTCGCAATGAGACTCAAATTAACCGGAGCTTTGGAGTGGCAATTCATCAAAACCAAACCGTTATCCAAGGGAAAACAGAAACACACTAATAAAATTACCATTTTTAAAAATATAAATTTTATGGGATTGAGCTTAAGATTACATAATTATAATTACATAGATTCCATATTTTTTAAGGTTATATTTATTTTATTTCCATATATTTTTTTTTTCTTTTTTCTTTTATTAATAATATTTTCATATAAAAAGTTTCAAAAAAAAAGCTAGTGAATGTGGTCAATAAAAATGTTAACCGACGAAGTGGCTATTCACGATTGGTAGTTACATAGATTCCATATTATTTAAGGTTATATTTATTTTATTTCCATATATTTTGTTTTTTTTTCTTTTATTAATAATATTTTCATATAAAAAGTTTCAAAAAAAATGTTAATTAACGTGGTCAATAAAAATGTTAACCGACGAAGTGGCTATTCACGATTGGTAGTTACATAGATTCCATATTTTTAAGGTTATATTTATTTTATTTTCTTATATTTTGATTTCTTTTTTCTTTTATTAATAATATTTTAATATAGAAAGTTTCAAAAAATGTTAATTAACGTGGTCTATAAAAATGTTAACTGATGAAGTGGCTAACCGCGATTGGTTGTTTAAAATCCTAGGTGGACGGCCTCAGGAGCTTATGGCCTCGACTTTTATATAGTATAGATTCTCTTCATTTTATCATCTTTTTGCTCTCTCGTGTAAATTTGTAATTTTTAAAAGAGAAGAATTTTGTGTTGCAAGGATTGCTGTACAAGAAACCAAAAACAATAAAGAAATAAAAAGTTAAAAAAAAAAAAAAAAAACTCGAGAAAGCCAATAAAGAACCGATAAACTTTTATGGAAATTAAGTTCCATATATTCTTTTTTCTTAGCTAAATAACCTATCCGGACATTGCCACAAAGTAGAATATGGCATAAGCTAAAGGATAGTAATGAGGATCTAAAGACCATAATGATTACAAGTTCCGCCGCAATGGTAAGGCATTCGAAACAGCAGTAGGCAAACCGTTGACAGTTTATATCAAGCATCAACTTGTATCAAACGAAACTGTTAATACTATTTACAAGTTCAAAGGTCTGAAATTAGAACGCAATGAGAAAAATAAAAGAAGTATTAATTTTTCTCATCAAGAGAACTTAAGACACGAATCAATATACAGAGAAGAAGACAGTTATTAAAAAATAGCTCACCAAGAGGTCCCCATGGAGAGCAAATAGCTACAACACGTCAACACCCCTTAGAGGTTCAAAAACATCATTCAAAAACTAAGTAAAATACTGAGGTTCCTGATTTAGTACCAGAACATTTGCTCCAATGCTAGTTCCGATAGCAAAGAGAGGAGCCAACGGGTATTTGTGTTGATGATAACAAAGAACTACGCGTATATGATATATCCTCTGTCCATACAGCATAATAGAACCGATCTGACTGCATCCGTTTGCAACATAACAAGATTATAGAAAGATATCTACATATAATACATAAAGCATAACGTATTTGTAGTGTTGTAGGCAAGATGCTTTAAATACTACAAAATCACCAATACAAGTCAATTAGACATTAAAGAACAGTCCTGGACCAGATAAGAGATTTAAACTAGACTTGCTGTACACGAAAAATCACTACTTAACCTTGGAATAACAACTGCAATAGGCGTTGTGTCTTCTTTTGTAATTTCACTCTGATTGTGAAGATCACCATCAAGAACTACACAAATCAAACAGATTCAAAGATCCAAAAACAAACATATTGATAGTAAAATCAGTCACTTAATTTTACCATCAGAATTCGTAAGCCCCAAGGAAGTGAAATTCGAGGAAATTGTAGAACCACCAAAACTTTAAATCGTAGAATTTTAATACTAAATTAAAAACTGTAAAAAGCTAATATTAGTGTATATATATATATATAATAAAAATTCATAGCCCGGTGTACTGCGGATCCAAAACTAATTTACACAAACGACTAAATTTGTACCGTTCAGATTACCGATTCTAAAATTACGAATGTCTAAATATACAAAATTATTATCTGATACATACTTCAGAATCTTCCAGTTATTGATGAAACATATACTTCAAATCATTTGAACATAACACAATCGTTACTTTTTTCGAACTTAACCCTACTTAAAAATAATATTCATTATGTGCTAAGCACATGTTAGTACCTAATATCCGATTAAAGAAAAACTTCAAAGATAATAAACTAGCTTAAAGCAATAATTGTTGCATTTGAAAACTCATTTCACATACTTTTTATTTTATCAAAAAAAAGAGTGATATAAAAATTTAAATCTATATATTGACATAACGACAACACTAGTACAATCACTAGAATATAAATCTTCTTCAACACATACTAATTTTGGTATACGACGGAAATTCAATATATTGTTCAATTAAAATTTGTTCCATAAATGGATTTTAGAAAACAATGTGGGTAAATAAATCGGGAAATCGGCTTTTTCATACCTCCACAATTACACTATGTTAAATTTATACCTAAACTATACCGTTGTGCTAAAACATACCTCCACTAATGAAACATTTGAATTTCATACCTACACTTTATGTTTTGTGCAAAATCATGCCTACGACCTAAATGTCGATTACGTGGCATCCACGTGTGCATCTACGTGGATTTGTTTTATGCGAGTTTGTGAGAAAAATGGTTTTTTCATACCTCCACAACTGCAATATATTAAATTCATACCCGAACTTTACTATTGTGCTAAAACATACCCTATGTAATCAAACATTTAAAGTATTTTGTATGTTTTCCGGAGATTTGAGTTAAATTTCAAGTATTTTGCTAGATTTTGGGCATAATCGGATACACAGTACTCAAAAATATATAAATAAATCGGGTATTCGGATACTTGTCTAACTAGTTTTCGATAACCGTTTATCTGTTCGGGTTTCGGGTATAATTGAGTTTAAATATTTTGGATATTTAGATACCCATTCGGATATCAGATAATATCCAGACCCGAACCGATATCCACAAATAGACATGTATAAGACACAATAGGGTAATTTGATTATATCCATTAACGATCCGAACCAAGTTTTTCGGATCGGTTACGGTTTGAGTTTTTGATTTATATTAAATTTAAATTTTTGGTTATTTAGGATATGTTTTAGCACAATAGTATACAATTCATGTATGAATTTCACATATTGGTTTTGTGGAGGTATGAAAAAGCCAATTTCCTTACACCAAAGCCACGTATATGCACACATGGATTCCACGTAGTCAAAATTTAGAGCGTATGCATGATTTAGCACAAAACATAAAGTCTAGGTATGAAATTCAAATATTTTATTACTAGAGGTATGTTTTAGCACAACGGTATAGTTTAGGTATAAATTTAACATAACACAACTGTGGGGGTATGAAAAAGCCGATTTCCCTAAATAAATCTAAACATGTTAGTGAGTTAGACATTTGTTTTTTTCAATGTTCAAAATTGTTAAGTGGTCTCTAGGCGTTCGATATGGGTCTACCGCATAGATCGATTAACAGGGGCCTAGGCGGAGCATAGGCATAAATACATTGTTTACTTATTTTCCTATTAATTTTCAAAATTTTATAAACAAACCATTTATTAAAATATGAAATGTTAAAAATGGTACATATTTGAACTTGTTACCTATATTCACACTTAGTTTATAGGAAAACTAAAGTAGCTTAGTTCCAATAATAAAAAATGAGATTTAAGAATCGTATATTAATCAAGTATTTTTTATTTCATTTTTTACTTAATTTTTTTCATTTATTCAAAATGATGTCATACTATAAAAAAATAATCATGCACTAAATGGGCTGATTTGACGATTTGTACCGATTTAAACGTTTAAACCGGTAAACCGATTTGATTCAGCGATTTTACTAAACCGATTTGATTCAGCGATTTTACTAAAATCGAGGCTCCCGGAGTTTCATGAACTCCTAAGCCGATTTTTTGAATCTTTAGTTTTTTCAAAACTATCTCAAATTATGTCAAATAATGGGTCAATGTCCTCAGCATTTATGATCCATAAATTAATAAATTATCTATTGAATTAAAGAAATAAGGTTTATCCAGAGAGAGATTTAGATTCTCTTTCTTCTTTTTCTTGCCAAAATCTTAGTATTATTATTACATATAAATTCATGCAAGAAAAAGAGGATTTTATTACCTAGTCAAATTCAGATAAAGTCAACAGTCAACTTATATAAACAAGAGTTGACTTTGACTATCCTAAGCCTAGGGACATATTTTTTTCCTTATTGTCATTAAACATCACGGACTTGCACTTTCACGGTCTAAAACAAGTTATATATTTTGTAATTGTAAATTTGTAATGATAATAACTAGTGGTTTTTATTTTAAATGAATATATTAGCTTAATGAAAAATTTAAAGTATTTTGCCAAAACTTGAAATCATTAAAAATTAAAAAAGATGAAAAGGTCAATAACATTTGAGAAAAAGTATAGCAACTTTGGATAGAAAGAAAGAAAAAGAAAAGAGAAAGAGATTAAATACAAAAAACACAAAAAAACACAAAAAAAAATCTATATTACTTTAATATGATTCTATGATGAACAAGAAGATCTTCTTTCAAAGTTCTTGGTGACCTTCCTTCTCTTCTGTGCCGGAGACGGTGGCCGAGGAGAGCAAAGTGTTTCTCCGTTGTAGCATTTTTATTTTCTTGTTCAATTTCTTTTTGTTTTATTAAATCATTTTTTATTTTTAGTAAGTAAAAAATCAAATTTTGAAGTGTTAAAAGATAAAATAATAATCAAATTTCGTATTTAATTTTCGATATTAAATAAAAAATTATAATTAATTTTAAAATTGGTCAAAAACTTCTTTTGGTATAAAATCTTTTTTTTTTTGGTCAAAACTTTCTTTCCATTTTCTACAAAAATTGATTATCTCGTCTGTATGTTATAAAATCTTCTTTATTTCTTTTCCATTTTTTGTTGGAATATCTTTTTAAGTTTTTGTCTTAATCTCAGTTTCATTTTTTGACAATGTCGCAGTTCTTTTTAAGTGATTTTTCTTGTTCTTGTTTTAAGGGAAATAATTAAAATGGATGGGCAGATTATACTCTGCGATGGCTTCGAGGTGGTTCCTCCGCCTGAGCCGCCCGTGATGAACGAGCTAATTCTCTCTGAAAGCGACCAATCTGTGTCAGATTACGAGATCACCACCGACGAAGAAGACACTGTTTTTTCCGGTGATAGTTCACCGGAAGTTGGAGCTGATGAAGAGGATTGGCATGGAGATAAACCTTTCTCTTTCTACTTTGTTAAGCAACCGGTTTTCGATGATCCCGAGATCAAAGCCAAGATTGATGAAGCCAATGAGGAGATTTTTCATTGTAATAATCTCCGAATCGATGTCCTCAATGCTAAGAAATCCGAAAAGGTGAGTCCATATTTTATTTTATTAGCCTTTTTTTTTCCTCTTTGACATTTTTGGATTGACAAGTCTGCGACTTAGTGGAGTCGAATTCCGGTGGGAAGGTGGAGTCAATTGGAATAAAGACACATCCCTTTTTATTTTATTAGCCCTTTTTGTTTTGTTTGATGATTAATACATTTTTAACTGTTGATATGATTTTGGGTTTTGTTTGTAGGCTGAGATTTCGTCTTTGTTTGCTCAAATGAAGAGTTTGGTTCCTAAATCGGAACAATATAGAGTGGTTTTTGAAGAGAAGAAGAGGGAGTTTGATACTCTACTTGAAGCTCTACGGAATCTCCGGTGCTCTACTAGTGATCAACTTTGTTTTTCAAAGGAGGAACTAGATCATCTTGTAATGACAACACTGTTTTTATAACCATTTGATCATTTAGTTAAAATTCGGTTTATAGGTTTTTGATTGTAGAAGTGTTTGTTGTGGTGTATGCAGATTTATATAGCTCATTATCATATTGAATATGGTAGCATTGGTTTGGAAGAAGACGATTGGGAGCTTAAAGACGCCGAGAAGCTTGCGGAGAAAGAAGCTTCTATAAACCGTGTCAAGGTAAACTCTAATCAAGGCTTAACTATTTGGGGTGATTTGCTAAAACATTGTTGAATCTTATGTTGTGAGGGTTTTTTTGCCTCATCATCAGTCTATGGCTGTGGAGTTAAATGAAGTAAAGAATGAGGTCGATGCGATTACATGGAAGATAAACTACTTGAATGACAAAATGGGGAAGAGTCAGAATAATATTAGGGGTTTGGATGTAGAAATGGCACACATTCTTGAGAAGAGGGACAGATCCTATGAAAGGATAAAGATGCTGAGGATACAACGAGACAAAGGGGTACGATATTTGTCTTTTTGTTATTTTTGCTTGTGGGTGATCTCAAAGATCTAATAACATTTGGTATGCTTCTCTTCTTTGTGTAGAATGCTGCATTTTTCCAGAGCCTTCTTGTTATGAGTAAAGCTAAAGAATTGGCTGCTTCTGGAAATGTTACAGAGCTTGAAGTGTTTGCCAACTCTGAGGTTTGTTTGGTCTATTCGCAAGATTGATTGATTCGGTGTCTTTTTTTTGAGATTTGAGCATTTGTTCTTGATTTTTTTCTTTATAGGTTGATAGATTCATGACTCATTGGAATGATGACAAAGCCTTTAGGGAAGATTATGTAAAAAGAATCTCGTTTTCACTCGGTGAAAGAGAACTGAACGAAGATGGCCGAATTAAAGATCCTGAGGTTCAGATCTTTTGGGAAAAGCAAGTCATGGTTAAGACTATGAAGACGAATAGAGAAGATTTCAGCTCCAACTTGTCTCAAGATGGAAAGGTACTTGCATATAAAAGAAAGAAAGAAACGAAGAAAAAGGCGATGGATTTCAACATGTCGAGTGCTGACGAGAGTGACGTTATAGATTTGGAATTCCCGGTGTATCAGAAACCAAAGAAGGAAGGAGAAGTGGTCGATGAAGAAACTTTGGAGGAGAGGAAAAGAGAAGAGCAGTTAGAGAAAGCCCGATTAGCAATGGAAAGGAAGAGGAAGCTGCAAGAGAAAGCTGCTGCTAAAGCAGCTATAAGAGCTCAAAAGGAAGCTGAAAAGAAACTCAAGGCAATTATATTATCTGATTAACTCTCCCATTTCGCTTGTCGGTTTCTTATTTCTTTGTTTTGTTTTCAGGAGTGTGAGAAAAAGGCGAAGAAGAAAGCTGCTTCAAAATCAGACCAATCACGAGAAGTAATCAATGAGGGAAAGGTTAGGACATGGAAAGAGAGATCGTTGTTTAAATGGAGAGAAGTTTCAGGTACAAACACCGCGGAAGAGAAACACCAAAAGGAGAGATCGTTTTTTCCAAAGCAGAGAAGTTTCAGGTACAAACACCGCGGAAGAGGAACTGAAGCGGTCCCTAAGGCCATCTTAAACCGTAGAAAGGCTCGAAAATATTGGGTTTGGGGACTTTCGTCTGCTGCACTTGCTGTTGCGCTCTTCCTTTTGGTTTTACTTCTACGGTAAAATTGGAAAGGAAAGAGACATTAAAAAGGTTTGACTTGGCCTAATTGGAAGGATAGAGCGAGTGAAGGAAGAGCTGCTTATGGACTTTCAAAGTTAGCTTTTAGTTTCATAACCTTAGATGTTAGTTAATATATGTTTCTTCATATATTTATTATGGAAGATTGGTTTGTTTCTTTCTCTTCAAAGAGTTGTCTAAAAAAATTGAGAAATATCCTAATTGTTAGTAGGAGCTTCTGAAAGTCCATAGAGACTCCATGTTGTTTTTATGTGAACATTGTGAATAGCATCCGCTTTATAGTTAGTCAAGTATCTTGACTACATATATACTTAGAAATTGCAAATACCATAAAGCTTCTTCCAGCTTTTCTCTCTTGTTACATATTTCAGAAGCTAAATCTACTTTCTACAATGATGGTATAATCAAAATCCATACTTAAATAATTCAATTTGTATAAGTTCTAAAATTTAACATCCATTTGGTTTGTAAGGGACCCTTTATCAATATTTTCAAGTGCTCAAACTTATGTAGCCACAGTCCAACGATGACGCCAATTCTATTCAAGTTGGATAGATGGTATATATATTTTCTTCATATCATATATTTATTAAGTAAGATTGGTTTCTTAATTAAATCTATGTATATATATATATATGTATAATCATTTATAGATAAATGAAAAAATATTGGCAACACACGACCAAATAAGTCTAATTTTATATGCATGGTGAAATGGATTATTTATCTTAATCAACCTATATAGCGCTATATATGTGCATATCTTATGTAATTTGGATGCTTCCATCTTTGAATATTAAAAAAGAAAAAGAATATTTAACTAATATTTAAAGTTTCAGAGCAAACATAGAACAAGTTGTTTCAATGTACAATGTCCAGGCTTTCTTCAAGTAGCCAAAGATTTTCCATTAAGTGATTAAGAACAAAATATTTCCATTTTAAAAATTTGATTAAGAAAAAAAAAACTAAAAATTTAAAGGCCAAAGTCTTCAAAATCATTCAAATATACATAAAGTTTGTTAGATATTCGCAAAGTTTGTTAGATATCCGTAAAGTCTGCAAAATATCCATAAACTCTGCCAGATACGCATAGGATTTGCCAAAAGTCTGTACGATGTTTGTAAAGTCCTCCAAATATCTTCAAATATGCCAACTATTTGGCAAAGTTTAACAGATATCCTCAAAGTTTAAAAGATATAATCAACAAAATTTAGTATTTGTGAAGTTTGCCAAATATCCGCAGAATTTGCAAAAAACAATCTGCAAAGTATGTTAGCTATTTCGCATAAATGCCAAATATACTTTAAAAATGCCAATTATTATTCTACAATCTGCCAAATATTTACAAAGTTTGTCACATGTTCAATATTTTGCAAAGTTTGCTAGCTAGGGTTTAATTTGTTAAATATTTACAAAGTCTGTCAAATATCTCCTAAATTTATAAAATGATCGCATCATCTATCTAATTAATATCCGCAAAGTTTTCCTTATATCCGAATAATAATATTCTTAATAAAACTTACAAATAATTCTCTAGGAAATTATAATCAATCTAAAAGCAAAATCAAATAAATCTCAAAACATTGCTTCAATGATGTTAAAGTTGTTTTTTAGAGAACTAAAGATATTTCGAATTTGGAGTACTAAAAGTAAGGTGGATGATTTTTTTTTCTAAATTAATTGAAAAAATGAAAATTAACCCCTAAAAAGATAAGATGGTTTTTAATTCTTGAAGAAAAGTATGTTTACCCATTTAATATATATATATATATAGATCCCTTTTTCTTTCTTTTTTAATTATTTCAGTTTTCAAAACCAATGTTATTTTTTGCACAATATTAATGTTATGAGATACTGTACTTTTGGATGCATATTATTATGATACATTTACTAAGGCTACTTTATATTTATGATTCTTTGAATCCTTTTTTGCAAAGATTTTCCCTGCTGACTTCTTTATTAATAAAAACAGGAACTATTGCCAAATGGCAAGTGAAATCTCTTAAATACTCCCAGATATTCATTAATAATAGTTGTATTATTTGACCCTCCAAAAAAAAACAACAATTAAATCCTTTTCATATGGTTAATGTAACATATAACTAATTGGAAGGACTTACATTGTGATTTCAATGGATATTTTCGTGAGTTTTGTTGTGTTTATACTTTCAATGTTATCTGTCGAATCTACTATACATATGAAATCCATCAAGGTAAAGAGAAATACATATATATACAATACTGTTATCTTCTTTAGTGTTTTATTTTTACTTTTTTGATTTTTTTCTTGTAGTTGAGTAAAAATGTTATTTACGACTGCATGGATATTTATAAGCAACCGTCTCTTCGTCATCCATTGCTCAAACATCATAATATTCAGGTATCTTGTTTTGCATTTTTCTTTACTCTATTTTTTGATTAAAAAACATGAAATATATATATATCTGTATGGATTTTGGTCATCCTTTATTATTGGGAAGTCTTTTGCGATCGTTGTGATTGTTGGGAAGTCTCCGTTAACAAATCTCTAAGATTGTTTCGATTTTTTCTTAGAGTCGGTCATATATATGACCATATATGTTCATTCTTGTTAACAAACTCCACAATTCTATATTCCAATAGATAAACAACTCTAAAATAAACATTGGCATTATATACCAAACGTGAATTCTATCTTAGTTACTTAGCTAGTATGTTAAGTAAACATCATACTTACATTTTTTATTTTTTTCGTATTAGATGAAACCAACTGGATGGGATTCTCAATCAGAGAATAAATTCGCAGAGAGAAAACACAAAAACAAAATAGAATGTCCAAATGGAACCGTTCCTATTTTAAGAACTAAGAAAAAACATGTCATACAATTTCAAGAATACCCCATCAATAACTTTACCGTTCTTACAGCTAAATATCCAGGTACCCATGTAAGTATACCATTTTATATTTTTCATGAAGATATATTAAATATTAAATCATCACCCATATACAATGAGATTTTAAGATATATATATATATATATATATATATATATATATATATATATATAAAATTAATTTGGAATTTATATTTTAATTAAAAACGAAAAAAGTATTTTGACTTTTTAGAAATCAAGTAGCTAAGAAAATAAATCTTATGTCAAGATCCATTGGTGCAAGTGGCATTGCCATTTCTGCAGATCTTTGAGCACAAGAGTCTTATTAATTGGGGACATGCTTGTCTTTTGTCTAAGAGGATATGCACCTAGGCCCATAACTTTTTTTGTCAACAACAACATAAAGGGTTTAATAATCTCTAGATTTGGCATTTACATGATTTGCAGAAACCCAAGAAAAAAATGAAATTAATTCAGAAATCTCTTTCATAATTTAGAAAGTTTAAATTTTACTTTTTGTGTTTCAAAATTTAAACTGATTCATAACTTTTAAAATTTGCCATGAATTTTAAAATGGTAAGAATGAAAATAGAGAACTACAAAATTTTACTTAAATTCAACATTACATAAAATTGTATATGTTAAATATTAAACACCTATCATAATCTAGAAAATTTTCACACATGGTTGAATTCTAGCAAAATGCATTGAAATTCATATAATAAGGCATAGCCAAAACATTTACATATGTAAAATTAATATGCATATTAGTCGAATTGACATTTATAGATTGCGGGAATGAAGATAGTAGAAAAACATAATTACCGAGGCGTAGAAGCAGGATTAAGGACTTATAACTTGATAATTGATAAAAATCATAGTACAAGTGCTCAAGCTTATGTAGCCACTGCCTCCAATGATGATGCCAATTCTATTCAAGTTGGATGGATGGTAATCTATATTTTCATCTTCTATATAATATATATTATTTTCCTAATTAAAGCTTTGTGATAAATCACAAATTTCTTACTATCGTTTACAGATCAATGAACAACTATTTGGCGACAAAAGACCATGGTCGTATGGGTCATGGCTGGTAAATCCATACCAAATATGTTTTATTTTTATATGCATGGTTAAATGGATTATTTCTCCTAATCAACTAGATATGTGTGTATATCTTATGTAATTTGGATGTTTTCATGTTTTAATTAATATTTAATTTTAGGGGAAACATGGAACAGGCTGTTTCAATGTACAATGTCCAGGATTTGTTCAAGTAGCCAAAAATGATCCAATAAGTGAACCTCTTAAGTTTGATTACCTTCTCTGGCTAACTATACATCAGGTAGTTAATTAGTTACACAAATTCTTATAGAAAATCAGAAGTTTTTTCTTAAAAATATGAAGATAAAGCATACACTAAAATTTTCTAATTAATTTTGCAACCGCTAATTCATGTAAAAGGACAAGGAAACAAAAAACTGGTGGCTTACACAAACCAACCCTGGTGATGTTAGCAAAATACATTTGGGATATTGGCCAAAGGAGTTGTTTAATCTTCTAGGAGATGGTGCTGATTTCGTTGGATTCGGAGGTATTGTTACGGGTGATCCAAGAACTCCAAGCCCACCAATGGGTAATGGTCGTCTTCCAAACAAAGATGATCGTCTTTGGTCTGGTTATCTAGACCATCTTACTATAATAGAACCGAACTATACCCATGCCGGATTTAATGACCTTATGACAGTGCCTTTGGTGGACAGCAGCGTATGTTATGATGTTAATTATGTAGGATATGTTGATGAGCATGTTGGTATTGCTGTGTCTTATGGTGGTCCTGGAGGTATCAAATGCGGCGATTAATTTATTAAAGTTATTTTAGCTTGTTAATGTTTTTTTTGTGGAATCTAATACTAATAAGTATTAAAAAAAGTTATTGAATATTAATGTAGCAATATTTTGTAGCTTTTCATATTTTTAAGTAAGTCAAGTTAGAGAAACAGTTATATTGGTACTATGGTTTTGATTAGTTGTCAGATACATATCAAAATAGCACACTAATTGAATTATAAATCTACAAATATATATTGATCATGTACTATGGACAGTGTTTGAGTGCAGCTATAAATCTACAAATCAGGATTGATAACAGAAACACATAATGTTGCACGGATGAAATGAAGGTGCTTATGGAAAAATGTTAAAGACTCATCGCCTCTAATAAGTCTCTCGCCTCTTCATTCATAGATAGAAGTTAATTTGGGGTATTTCGGATATATTTTCTTTGTATGGGATATTTTGTTCGATCTTAGTTTCGGCCGATCTCATCGATAACCCACGAAAACGAATTGTGCGGACTTAGTTAAGTTATCGCAGTTTTTGACAAGTGGTCGTTTTCTCCAACTCTTGGTCTTGGGATAAGTTTAATCACGGAAGTTAAAAATTCCAAAGGCAATGGTATAGAATTATTGTCTTCCCTTTGAGACAAAACACATGAGAACTCATAATAAACGCAATGCAGTTTCCAAAAGAAACATCATAGCTAATAAGCCAGAAGATGTTTCAAGCATTAGATAATATGATGAAGCAGCTCAAATATTTGATATTACAAATACAGATGAAAGAAATTGTTTACTACCCAAAAATTAAGTCTAATAAGCATCGAGCACTGCAAGGTTACTGACCTCTGGCTCGATGTGTCACTAATGAAACTACTAAGCACTGATATTAGAATTCTGACTACTTTTCTTTCAACTGCGCCTTTCCGTTGTCACCCGGAAATAGCAAAAGAGCTGCTCATCTTTAGACAAAATGCGTTAGACTGGTCATATGCACAAAACATCAAAAGCTCTGTCTATGCAATGAGCCTCAGACACAACGGTGTGGAGAGTCGAGCAATACGGCATTAGTAGTACCTGTGTACTTCTGGTTCACCCGCGATGTTCTCCACGATCTTTGAATCAGTCGGGGTGATGCTCGCAATGTGGTAGTCACTTCTCTCTTTAGCGTTAAGTTTTTGTTGACAATCTCTTCCCCTGTACCACCATTACCAAGTGGCTGGGAATGATCTATCATGTTACAATCGGGTTGTTGATCTGACTCCTCAGTACCCTCAGCTTTACCTCCACAGCCATCATCAGATAATGGCGTCTTATCTTCTAAATCACCACTTTCGTGCCTTTTTATATCAGTTTGATCCACATGGGAATCATCAACTTCATCGGGAAGGGAATTGATGTCTATATCTGTCAGTTTTCTAATCTCTTCTTTCTCCTCCACGGACCGGTTAAATAACTTCAGATTCTCTGTTTCATTATCCCCATCTTCTACATTCGTTAACTTCAAACAGCTCTCAACTGGGTAAGAAGAGGATTCAACATCAGCAGTTGCACAATTTCGCTCGTGTGCACTGTCTTTAGACTCCTCAGGTTTATTTTCCTCGACATCTACAGGCAAGGTCATCTCAGGTGCCAACAACACTAAACCTGGAGTAGAGTTAAGTCAGTCAATAGATGCAAACATGCATGTACACATAACATGAGCATATTAAAATCAGATGACAAGGGAAACTGAGATGTACCATTGGAAGAGGACACAATTGAGTCAGTGATCTTCTCCTTCACCAATGATTTCCCCAACATGTCTACACCAGGGAACACCAACAAGTTCAGATTCTTAATTTTTTTTTTCTCTGATTCAGTAACAGGCGCAAAGCCAAAGCCTGAAGTCCATGTATCAATCAGTTCTGGCACTGCTGGTATGACTAACTTGTCTACTTTGAGAGAACCGAGCGCCTGATGACAAAGCACATGAAATATGGATCTTCAGAAATTGTGAACAAAAGAGTCCACTGGGTTAGACAAAATGAAGTGCAAATCAAACAAAAGAAGAAGACTGAGATAGTACATAGCAGATCAAGACATATGGCACACTAAGAAGCTTGACTAATTCACATCAACTATCCTATAAAGTCACTTTTTCATGATTTAAATCAGATTTTCTACACAAATCCATGTTTTTAGTTCAGATGTAATCTAGCAATCATTTTGTCATTTAGCATTTCATATTTATTGGGAAACATGGAAATGCTAAACTATTTCCAATATTTCTTTCTTAATGCCTGAAAGAACCTGAGAAAAAGCAGTATGATCTGTCGCCAAAACCAGCAGTATAGCAAAAAACATTTGAGAAAAATAAACCAAAATTTTTAATGTAAATAACCACCAAACTAATTGAAAAAAAGAATTTACGATATGACAAGAAGTGGAGAAGACCTACAGATTCAATGCCATCCATTAGTCGACGACACATCCCTTGACGCCTGTACATATAGCGGGTTCCTATAAACGGCATTTCTGCCAGTTGATTGCCGTGGATCCTGAGTAAGAGATAAAACAATTTTATGAGAAGAAAAACTAATTTATATACACAGTACTACAGTTACTATTCTCATTTTGTTGAGAGCCCAGTAACAGAGTTTCAATCAAAGACCACTTGAGACCATGTAGAGGCATATACTAAGGGAATTTCTTTACCTTAGTACGACATAAACTGCTAACATGTAAATGTAGTGCGTTCTATCCAGCTTAAGAACTCTCTAACTTAGCAAAAGAAATAGTATATGATAAAGGGGTTTTCTATTCTTGGGTTTACATACTACTGCCCCACTACTATGATACGAACACTGTAATGTCTAGAAACTTATTATCCCTTGTAATCATTTTAATGATATCACAGACATACCTGATAGACGCCACAGCAATGATTTCATCACCCCTCTCCAAAACAGCAGTGAGAAAACTGCTGAAATTTAGCCGATGGAAGTTCGACCTACAAAACAATAGGGAAAAATTTAAATATAATCTAGTAGCTTATGGACTGTTTAGATATCCACAAAACACTTGCCAATGAGCCCATGAACCAATTGAACAAAACAGAAGCATATAAGGACAGGTTTTGGGAATGAGCTTACCCAAAATTATAAACAATGTTTTGAAGCAGGTTGACTCCACTCCTGTGATCAACCAAAGGTGAAAAGCACTCATCCATAACAGAAAATGCAACAGCCATTTTGGCATTATATGCAACCCTCTCAGATATGTCACAATCGGCAACCTCACTAGGGAGCTCAAAGCGGCGAATGAATGACCAGGAAAAGCCCTCAGGCAGTGGGTGTTTTACTCCAATGAGTAACTGAAGTTCCTCGAATAACTGTAGATAAAAAAAAAAAAAAAAGAGTAGAAACAAATGAAATACTCAGCGTCTAATGTAAAGATATATTCACAAATTACCAGATTCATATAATAGTAATACATAACGCTATTTGTTGCCAGATAACTGTTCAAAAAATATTTTATTCATGACTGTAATGTGCCTATTGTCGTTTAACCTGATGCCAACATCGAAAGAAACGATTAACAGTGTCCTGTATTACTTTCATTAAGCCACAAAAAAGGTTTCAAATTCAACTAATCTAAAAATCTTGTTTCCAGTAATAAAGCTCCATGATAAAAGAAAAAAAAGAAGGCTACCTCTTGACAATACTTTCCACAAAATGAATCAATACTCCTTTCACCAGGCACTGTGCCATCTTGGTTGATGCATGCTTGGTGATCTGCAAGAGTTTGAGGGTAATGATTAGAGCCTAGAAGTCTGTTTAAAGAAGTTTAACAGAGCATATACATATAAATGCAATTATTAATAAGATGGCTTTAGGGTGTAATTCATACATTTCTCTTCACATAGGCGGCAACTTGATAAGGAGTGTAGAGTTGAAGTGTCATGTATATCTGCCTCAACTTTCTCGCAAAATTTGCATGAGCAGTTGCAACAATACCAGGCACCAGAAGGGAATTTCTGCAGTTTGGAAAGAAAATAAGTCTAGAAGAAACAGAAAAGCCTATTCAACAGATAAAAGAGCTAAATTTTAGATGGTTGATCATCCTATCTTCCTTACCACATATTTCACTAAACTTCAATATAATGGTTCATAGAATACGATGGTTTTTGACCAAAAACACAGACATTTCCCAGAAAACCCCTATTTAACATAAAATTTTCACATCGTAAGGAGCAACTTACTTTTATGTCCAAGCAGCTCTGATGGAATGTTGATGGGCACCCATCACAGCAGATAAGGTCTCCCCCATCCCCACAAATACCACACGTATCATCATTTGGATCTCCAGAACAAAAGTCCACAAAATGGTACCCTTTATGTTGTGATTCACTTTGTTTATTCATAAAGTCATGGAGGCACTGCAAGAGAGAATTCCCACCCTCTAAATACAGACTTTTGAGTGGCTGGTTGTGCTTCCCTCCAGCATGAACCTCGAAATCAAGAACAGAGAACACTTCATCGCAGCAGTTGCATCGAATACCCTCTTTTGTAATTATTCCTTCTAGAAGCATGTCTGTCTTCTTGCAGTCCATGCACTGAACTTTTCCGTTAAGTGGCACAATGGTTGAATCAATCATCCACCCCAGCATGGTGCGTTTCCCTTCAAATAAAATGTACCCACCCTCCTTGGCATCTGCATCCTCTAAAGAACTACGCGCTGACGGAGTACAACGCTTTCTATTATGTTTTTCTTCCCTCTTTATTTTTCTAACTGACACCGGAATTCTTTCTAAGTTGTGGTGTCCGTGATTCCCTTTTCGTTTCTTCTGCATTTTTCCCTTCAGCAATTTGTTTCCATGTAGTGTACGTTTTCCCCTTCCCTTTGTTGAAACCACGTTTTCATTCGTATCTCTGTCCTTCAATTTTGGCCTTTGCTTACCTGTATCGCTCCTTTTTTTCTGAATTCTTCTCCCTAATAGGTGAAGGTCCTCTTCTGGTAGCAAGCCACAACCAGAACCAGTGGTAGAGTTCATTTGATCATTCATGCTGCTTTCCAAATGTTTTTTGTAAACTTGATAAGCCTTAGTCACTGACCAGTGAGTCTTTCCCTCAGGATTAAGATACACAGCATCTTCATAGGCTCTCCCATTTCGGGGCCTATATTCGACAGTCCAACCAGCAGCTAGAAGTAACTGCAGTATCCGGTCACTAAGCATTTTCTTAGACTTTGATCTGGATAGTCTTCCAGCTTCAGTTTGCTTATTCTGTTGTTCCCTAATCATCCTTTCGCCATCAATTAAGGGATTGTTGTTCTGTGACTCCAAGGGACTCTCACAAAGTTTTAGTCTCTTCTTTGCTTTATAATCTGATTCATCTGTCATCCCCGATTTCCTCTTTTTCTGTGGTGTTGGAGGTCTTCCACGCTTAAGTACCATCTTCTTTCCATCAGATTCAGGTCCCTTAGCCCTGCAGTTTCTTTTTGATCTCCTGGATTCATCAATAGAGTCACTCATACTCTGGTCAGAAATTATTAGGGGGCTCCCATGCGTACAGTTGACATTGTCCTTTTCTCTGTGAAGGCCAACTGCCGTCTCCTTGGTCTTTGGGGGTCTACCACGCCGAAGACTCAAACTAATCCTGTCAACACTCGACTGGCTGCTTAATTCTGGAGTTCTCGCAAGTTTACAGTTTGTGTTAGGGCGATTCTCATCAGATTGACTGCTGATCTGCAACTTTCTAGGCCTTCCCCGTTTACGTTTAACTTGCAGCTCTTCATCATGTGGCTTGACACTCCCACCACATTCATCATCCTTGGTTTCAATCTTAACCTGGCTCCTAAAATCAGGTCCAGGAATCTCTTTAGCTTCAGCATATTCCCCGTGCTCAAGTTTTACTTCTGCTTTCTCCTTGTTAAAGCAGCTTCCGCCAATAAGTTTCACATCGTTATCATCTCTTACCAGTTCTACCTTCTTATCTAAAGATGTCCCAAGTTTACAGTTTGAGATTGCGCCGTGATCATCAGATTGACTGCTGATCCCAAACTTTCGAGGCCTTCCTCTTTTGCGTTGAACTTTCACTTCTTTTCCATGGGGCTCAAAACTCCCATTTCCATCATCTGATCTGTCATCCGTAGATTCCACTTTCACTTGATTTCCAAAATCATCTCCACAAATCTCCTCATGTACAGGAGATTTCAAATGCTCTTGTTCCACTTCTTCTCTAACCTCATCAACAGAACTTCTGCCACTAACTTTACCCATCTTGTCACCCTTATCAGCACACTTTCCTTTCTTTTTCACAGCCTTATGATGTTTATCACTGTTTACCAGATCCCTTGCCACAGAGCCTGAGCGAAGAACCCTCCGCGTAATGAGAATTTCACGCTCAATCGGCTTAACCTTCCCTTTTTTCTTATCCTTAATCTCAATCACATTCTCCATGTTACCGTCTTTCGGAGTTCTCTCCATCACATCATCAACCAAGCTATCAGTTTCACGCTCAGATTCACTGAAATCTTCAATTGAAGCACACTCGTTTAAATCAAAACCCTTTTTCTCTTTCGTTTCAACCATCTCTTCAATTTTTGACACAATGTTCGCAAATCTCAGTCATATAGAGAGACCCCTACAGCCAAAATTCACAATAAATCAAAAAAAAAAAAAAAAAACTGACGAATAATTCCAGTAACAATAAACGCAATCGTACAATAAACAGATCGAGAAACAATACGAAGAAGAAATCCAAAACCCTAATCAGAAAACGGAACACATAACCGTACCGGAGAAATTTCGATAACAAGCGCGCTCCAGCGAAAATCAGACGGAGAAACGGAAGGAATCGGAGAGGGAAAAGCAAGAGAGACGGAGGAAGATTAACGAATCAGCGACGGAGATTCACCGGAGATTGGCATTGTTGGATCGGAAGAGACGACACTAAACAACGATCTTCTTCTTCAAGGGTTTAGCTTTGGATGTGAAAGTGGGAAGAGAAAGGGTTTTTAATATTTTTTGGGGATTTTATTTTATTTTATTTACTTGAGAGAAACATGCGCGAATCGAGAAATATTGCGATATAATTGTGTTTAGGGGTAAATTCGTCATTTTATTGTTGTTGTTATTGTAACGTCGTTTTTCCCTCCATTTTATTTCCGGGAAATTTTATTTATTTTAAAATTTTGAGATAAGCCAAAAAGACTAATTTGCTTGCTTTGTAGTTAGGATTAGATCAGTTTGGTTTGGTTAGTTTCGAATCTTTGAGTTTTTAATTTTATGAATATTTACGTCCCAAGTAAATTTTGTCTTCTTGTTTCTCTCAATTTTAACAGATATTTTTTAATATTGTTGGACAATTTTTGTAATTCGGTTATTTTGTCTCGTACCCTAATATATTTTTGTACTCGTTGAAAAACAGATGAAATTAAATTAAACTATCTCAAACGGTAATTATTTCAACGTGTTTGTGTATAGATAGATATGGTATAGAGATAGATCAGATAATTTTTCTTGTAATGTATATTTCTAATATTTATTGTAAGTATATTTATTAGATTAGATTATTATTGTAAGTATACTTGTCTTGTTTTCAAACAAGCTCAAACAAGAATAATTAATTTTACTACAAGCAAAATATTAATGTTCTAATAATAATTCTGAAAATCATTTTTAAATAATTTATTTTATTAATCAATTGACTTGTTTAACCGTCAAATATTTTTTTATTCTTTCAAATTACATTATTGTCGGTTGTTTAACTCGACAAAATTTTAGTTATTCTTTTATTCAACCAATTTGTTAGACTCTGCCAGACTCTTTTGTTACTATTTAAATATTTAACTATTTTTTCTAAATTTTCTGGTTTTTTTTTTTTGTCAACCGCTTTTAATTAGAACTCAAAAGAAAATTTTCTGGTTTTATATTACTTAAAGTTAAGTGTTACAAGAGAAAGAAAAATATTTATGGTGCCTTAACAACAACTACTATCCGGGATGAACAAACTCGGTACAAGAAGCGAATTACTAAAGAGAGAAAGAGCCTCGAAACCACAATTGGAGAGAATCTCGGAACTTTGGGATATGAACTTTGGGATATTTAACTAATTCACTAGATTTTGTCACAAATCATCTTAATATTTTACTAGATTTCGCCATCATTTGTTCAGTTTGCAACCTTTATTCCAAGACCATGAAGTCTAAACTCTAAACCAATTCTCTTGATTAATAATAAAGCATAGTTGTTTTTAAAAACCAGTTCATTCGTTCCAGTTTTAAATTGATGTTTTTTTAGTTTTTTTTTCCTTTTCAAATCTTAGCGACCACATTGATGCACAATGCTCCAAACGACCGTCAAAAGGCTATGGACCAGTCTTTGGAGGCATGCAGTGGAATTCTAAGCTCCAAGCAGTCTTCAAAGGGTCATGAACCTGTTCTAAGAGACCCACATTGGTGGTGCATCAAGTTCCACATATTTTAACTGTGTTGTGAAGTGTAAAACTACCTTCCTTTGTGGGTCATTCCCCGGTTGATCGATTGTTTGCGACGTTCTACCTATTTAATTTTCTCGAAAATAGGGGAGCGTTTCTTCTTGTAAAATTTCTCTCCTCCGAATGCAATTTTCAAGCAAGATGACTTTCCGTCCATGTTAACTTGTAATCATGGGTTAACTTGGTTGCGTCTAGTTCGGGATATAGGGCTTGTTCTTTTACTTGTCGCTGTCTGACAGCGACGCCAAAGAAGAAAAATAGTTTCGGTGGAAAGATGAAAACACAGTGGTGAGAGGAAAACAGTCGCAGAAGATGAACCCTAATGAAGATTGAAGTGTCGCCATTAATTTCAGGGCTATAATCTTTATTTCATGTAATCTTAAAATGGTTCGGGTTGTAATCATATCCTCATATATGAGCGGTTTTCCTTCGACTGTATAATCAAGAAAATATTGTTTACCAAGTTTTCTAGTTTGAAACCCAATTATGAGATCGTAGACAAAAAATTTAACAAAAAAATGAGAAAGAGTATTCTATAAACAAGGTAAGTTCGATAAAAGTACATATAAGGCAAGTTTTCTATACAAAAAAAAAAAAAAAAAAAACCTTTACATGATATAAAATATAAATATTTAGTTAAAACTTTCATCTTTTTATCGAACTTGCCTTTTCTATAGTAAACTTTTTTCACTGAGCAGATTACACCAAGTTTGGGCATGTACACCGATTTTCATGAAGGAGCCGCTTGTTCGTAAAGGATCTGGTTCTCATAAGAGTTAGTTGAACGAACACAAAGCAGAATATCAGAGGTTTGGGCTCACCAATCTAATACTTAATGTCTTTTATCAAGAACCATAAAAGCATTTTGCAATAGTTGTCTTGCTTTCCGATCTGCAGTACACCCAGAGGCTTCCATTTCCCTGAATATTTCTGGAACCTGAGCAGCCAGCAATTTAAACACCCACTTTATTAAGAGAACACATAGCGTATATACTCAATTGAAACGTTTGTCGTTAAGGAACATGGGATTACAAGGTGATTATAGAAAGCACCAGATAAGAGCTACATACCTTTTCATACTTCTTTGCTCGAGTGAATGCTTTCATAAGTGTACTATAGGTAACCACATCGGGGGTGAATCCCTTCAGAAGACAAACTCAAGTAGTTAAGCATATGATGACGATAGGGAAGTATTAAAAGTTTAATCGCACGAATTAGATATGCATACGCTTTCTTTAATATGGTGATAAATAGATAGAGCTTCCATGTGCTTCCCAGCAGTTCCAAAAGCATTAATCAAAACATTCAGCATAATCAAGTTTGGTTCAATCCCCTCGTTCTCCATCATCTTGAGCACCTTTACTGTCTGTTTGCACAGTCCCTGTATAAAAATTTGATCATGACTTCAGTTAGATTTGAAATTCATAGCACTACTTATTAGAAAATATAACCCTTCTTAAAGCTTGCACAATAATTGGTGATGAAAAGACAGGCAGTTCTATCGGACTTGTACAATGCCTATACTTGAAATCATATTGAGTACTAGAAGTCTAGAAGGAATAAAGTGATAACATAGACCCGAACTTCAGAATTATCAGAACATTGAAAAAGTCAGAAGTTGTAACTGAACAGAATGATATATATTTGGTGTGGTGTAGACAGCCGAATAATTACAAGGTATAAAACAACAAGCCAGATCTTGTTAGCAGAATCTATGATCTGTCTACAGTTGTTGACATTCTATACTCTTCTATATATACCAAAAGAAAACGGCTGAAACAACCTATAGAGAGTCTACAGAGTTCAGGTCACAAACAAAAGAAACCGAGAACAGGAAACACTGAAAGATAGGAAACCAACCTGCTGAGCATATGCATTTGCCAAAGTACAAAACAAATTAGCTGAAGGAGCGACGCCCTGTGACTTGAGCTTACCCACAAGTTCCTCAACATCTTGGAAACTCCCAAACTGTCCAATAATTTGAACTAAAGCTGCATAAATAGCTCTTGTATCTTTATGTTCCTTACACTTTATGGACTCAAAATGTCTATCTATCATATTCCAGTTGCCATTCTCTCCCAACCGAGTTATAAGATTCACAAACATCCTAGGGTCAGGATAAAGCCCCTGATCTTGCATCATTGTGAACAACTCAAGCGCCATATCAAGCGCACCGTGATGACAATGCCACCGTATCAACGAATTCCATGTACTAATATTAGGCTTCGAATCACTAGAGCTCTGCATTTTCTCTAAAACATCTAACGCTTCATCCAACTCTCCGTACTTACCAAACGTATCGATAATGCTATTGTATATCTCCACATCCATTGGCAAACCAATCTCCCTAATCTCCTCTACAATCCCTAAAGCTTTCTTCCACATCCCATTGTCTCTATAAATACGAATAATCTTCCCATAAACAAACGAATTCAAACGAAACTTCCTCTTCTTCATCTCGTTAACCACACGCCACGATTCCTCCAATCTCCCAGCACTAACATAATAATTCAACAGAATCTCACAAGTTTCTTGATTCTTATCAACATTTTCCTCTTTCATATGATCCAAAACCCTAAGAGCTAACTCTAATTGACCTTTTCTCAAATATCCACTAAGCAAAGCATTGTACAATCTCACCGAATAGCTTCCATTGATCTCGAATCGAACTACTTCTTGAAACAAAGCATCAGCTTCGAGAGTCCTTCCGAGACCAGCGAGTGTTTCAATCAAACTAACGTAGGAAAGAGGATCGGGACGTGAACCTAGAGAATCGATTTCGGCGACGAGAGACATTGCTTCGTTGATTTCACCTGTTTTACAGCAATATCGAATCCAACGATTGTACATAGACAAAGACAATTCTTCTGTAGCTAATTGGCGCGAAACTGGGCTGTTTGAGCAGCAGCAGCCATTGACGAGTCGCCGCGGGTATCTGGAACTGAAAGAAGTAGAAAATCTCGTCGGTGATGGAGAAATTGAGACTCGGAGAGTGAGAGCTCCATAGGAACAGTGAATTTCAGTAGACATTGGCATAGCTCGGAGCTCCCAAACTTATTTGGGTTTTATTTTATGGAAATCTAGAGCATGATTATAGTGATTGTTAAGAGATAGTATTTTTTAGTTATTACTATCTTAGAAATAACTCTTAACAATATTTAAGTAATATATTTGTAAAGTGATTGTTAAGAGATAGTATTTTTTAGTTAAGATTTTTGTGTGATTAATGGTAGGCTCTTAACATGTGGTTCTTAGAAAAAAAAATATTAATATAAAAATAAAATTTATAATTATAGAAAATTTAATAATTGTTACAAATTAAAAAATTAAAACATACATGAGATACAATTTATAACATAAATAACATAAAACACAAATGTTTTAAACTTAATTTCTGGAATATTTTGTCTATATATGTTCGACCAAATCATTCTTCAATTGTTGATGCATACCTCGATCACGAACTCGAGCTCTATTGGTCATCATTCCGAAGAAATTTGAAGGCATATCTGTAGAATATGTGAAATCCACCCGTGAACTTCCTGCAGATTCCGCTTGTTCGAATTCGATAGTATCAAACTGAGTATACCCATCTCGTTCGTCTTCTACTATCATATTGTGAAGTATTATACATGCTCGCATAATATTTTCTATTTTTACCTTATCCCAAAGAAGAGCCGGATTTTTTACAATGGCAAATCGAGCTTGCAAAACTCCAAAAGCACGCTCGACATCTTTACGGCAAGCTTCTTGATGGGTTGCAAATAAAGATGCTTTATCAGTTTGTGGAAGTGAAATAGATTGGATAAAGGTAGCTCATTTAGGATAAATGTCATCCGTGAGATAGTAACCCAAATTATACTCGTTCCCGTTGACTGTATAATTCACTGCTGGTGCTCGGCCTTTTAAAATATCATCAAAAACCGGAGAGCGATATAGAATATTGATATCATTTAAAGTACCGGAGGTCCAAAGCTAAGGAACGTTTCTTAGCTAAGGAACGTTTCTTAAGGTTAAAGCACATTTTAGATTAAATTATATTGAATTTAATGTTAACAAAAGCCTAAGATTTCCCTAAGAGTCTCCCTTTAATCATGCTCTAACATTTTGGAATATGTTTTTTTTTTTTTGGGTCAACTTTAGGATTGTTATTGACATCAAAAAGTCAGTACAGAGAGAAGTCTAAAAACCAAAGTAAGGTTATAACAGCAAAGCCAAAATTACATGAGCAAACTGAACTAGTAAAAACCACTAAGACAAATTTAGTAAAAAAATTAAGGGAAAAAATAATCGAATCTCTCACTTAACCTCGTTCGAGGAACCTTTACACTTAAGACGCGATCTGGCGGAACCATGAGTGCAATCCAATCAACCCGAAGCTTCTGTTCGGAATAATTGTCCGAGATTAACCGATCGAGCATGCTTTTATTTAGCAAACATAAATTGACAAAAGCCCAAAGACCACCATAGGAAGAAAGAGAATGCTAAGGTTCTGCTCATAAGTCATAGTCCACGTAGTACGAGAGGCACAAAAAGTAGGACACGTGGAAACAGAAGAAGATGAGTCGCCAAATGTTGGAGGCCGAGATTGCTAACCGAAAAAAACTTTCGACCACCGGAATTGCCGTAAACGCCAAATTGGGAAGCAGCCACATTATCCTATGAGAGACCTTTAACGAATCTTCGGTGATAATCACTGTAAAATTGAAACCCTCCGAGAAGGAAATAGCTCACAAACCACCATCGACGTCGAGATTATTGCGAAAAATCAAACCAACCCAAACGATTCAACAAGCGTCGACAGTGAGAAAGACAAACAACATCTTTCTAGGAACAAGACTAAATAGAACGAGATTAAAAAGTACAAATTAAATCCGGAACAAATTCTAGGAACAAAGCACACCGAGATGAGTGACATCACTGCTAGAGATAAGCCAGCCATCATCCAAAAAGGGGTTTTTAGTAAAGTAGACACTTTTCTAAAAGTAGGTAGTTTTTTTAGAAATAGGAGGAATAGACACTTTTTTTGCTTTTGTGAGATAGAAGATATGTGTAATAGAGTAAATGACAAAACTAGTGTCAAATACAATTCTACCCTTTGTGTTGTGAGAAAGAACTTTTGATGTGGGTCCAAATTTTTAGGAATAATAGATCAAATACTATTTTTTAGGAATAATGGATAAAATTATTTTTTTATTTTCTTTAATTTGTATATTTTTCTATCACCAACATTATAAATAACATTTTGTATACTACTGTTTGTACACCCGTTTGTATGCTAATGTTTGTACACCCGTAATTTACACTAATGTTTGTACACCCGTTTGTGCACTATTCAATTGAAGTAATGTTTGTACATTCATACGTAATGTACACTAATGTTTGTACACCCGTTTGTACACTATTCAATTGAAGTAATGTTTGTACATTCATACGTAATGTACACTAATGTTTGTACACCTGTTTGTACACTAATGTTTGTACACCTGTTTGTACACTAATCTCGTACACTATCTTTTTTTACATTAACACTTAACAAAAATGGTTCTCTCATTCTAGACATGGTGTACAAAATATGTGAAAGTGTACGATGTTGTAGACGGTGCAGAAGGTGGTGTATGGTGAGATCTATTATCTCATCGTTTCATGTACACCATTAATATCATGTACACCATACATCGTATTATATAGTTGTACACTATTATAGATTGTAGTTTGTACAATGTCATATCCAGTATATCAATTCTTACATCATGTGAGTATGATAAATTAATTTTTACATTATCGTAGTATACTACCGTTGTACACTATCTTTACATTATCACGTACACCGTCGGGTTGAGATTAAATATAAATATTGTTATGTATCCCAAAATATAGCAAAATTAGACTTTTTAGATTCATAAAAAAAAATTAAAGAATAATATGTTATTGTGGTAATTTTTTTTTATGAAGAATTTTTATCAAAACAAAGTGAAATTATTTAAGTGAAAGAGAAGAAAGAGAAAAATAAAAGCTTTTGACTAAGTCAATTATGTCATTATGTGGGTACATAAAAACCAAAAAAGGATAAATATGTCATTTACTAATATCTCTATTAGAGAGAAAGGTGTATTAGAGAGGAAAGAGAAAAATGTCTACTTTCTAATTTTAAAAAAAAAATACCTACTTTACAAATTATTAGTAGAAAAAGTGTCTACTTTACAAATTTTCTCATCCCAAAAAGTCGACAGATGCTGGAATTAATTCAGGCGGTGCTAAATTTTATAAAAAAAAATTCTAATCAGAAAATAAATACTTATACGTTTTAGAAAACATATATTTTCCAATAAATAAATGGGTGATATTATGGATAGAACATCTAACCGTTCAGTTAACACTCGGGGTTCTACACCAAACCAAAAAATATCGGGTAACCAAGCACAATTTAAAATCTTCCGATCGGTTCAGCTTTCTTGATCGAAGCCAAACTGAAAACCAAAAATCTCAGTTCGGAACGGTTCCAAATTCTCTGTTCGGATATTTGTCGCAAGCCTAGCTAGAAGGATGACCGCAAAACACACAACCATCAACAAAAGTATTAGAGGAGGACTAAACTTTTTTTGTTTGCCACTTGTGTGTTTTAAAGGATGTAGCAACTCTTTGCAAAAGATTTGCTCAAATTTTTATTTTTCATTGTTTTTAAAAAAACGTTGTTGTCTTCTTTAACTAAAAAAATTGAACATTTCCTACAAAAATTAGCATGTTTAAAACTCGTTGTTGTGTTTTTTCTTACTTTTTACTATGTAGCTTATAAAAACTGAATGTGTTTTCCATAATAGAAATATGAATTGTAATTTTGGTCGGCGAGTCTCATTTTTGGTTTTATTTTCTATTTGAGATTTTGTATTCATGTTAAGTTATTCATTCTGTATTAAAAGAAAATATTGTTTTGTTTTCTTATAAAAAAAATTTTTGCATCGTAAAGGACACAGACAAAAACAAATATTGCATGCATTGGTTAATCAATGCTTTATTTTGACTTAAACATAGACATAATTTTTGATATTAAGAACCTTTTTATATAGACATAATTTTGCATAGGAGTACAAGGGAATCTAACCGTAAGAAAAATGTTAAATAGTATACGTAATCAATCACATATTCTCATTACCAAATTGGTATACTACTAACTACTTACGTTCCTTATTTAATTTACTTCCTATATTACTATTATGTTTGAAATAAGTTGCTTGACAAAAACCAACTACTTCATTTTAATTTCTACCTTCTTCTTTTTGCTATTTTGAAAAAGGTTATCACAACTTGATAACACCAACAGAAAAACTAAAAGCTATTAATTAGTGGGTTTTCAGCCAAAAATGTTCATGGATACTTACGTTTTAAGTTTCAAACTTTTCACAAGCTGAAAACTCGTTTTTTTTTTTTTTTGTCATCCGAAATTAATTAGAGCTCAAAAGAGCCATTGTTTGAGGAATATTGTTGGAAAAACTAAGAAATCTACCACATTTCCCCCAATTCTTTCCAAATCTACCACATTTTCAACTTCCTTTCCAATCCTACCACATTTGATATGGGAAATTACTATTTTGCCCTCTCTTTCTCTTTCTCTTTATGTTTATTTTTTAAATTTTTTTCTTTTCTTTTCTTTCTCTCACTCTTTTTCTCTCTCACATTATTTTTTCTTTTTCTAACTTATAGATATATATATACATATATATCTATGAAGTTTTCTTTTTCTTTTTCTTTTGACATGATTTTTTCTCTCCTACAAAATATAAATCTGGGTTTGAAAATAGTTTATTAGTTATATAGTTTTGGTCCACGACATTAAATCGGCTACACATTTAGATCTGGATTTCTTCTCATATGAACTTGTCCTCGATCTAATTCTATTACTCATTTGATCTGAACTTGTCCTCGATCTAATTTTAGTACTCATTCGATATGAACTTGTCCCCAATCTAATTATATTACTCATTCCATATGAACTTGTCCCCGATATAATTATATTACTCATTCGATCTGAACTTGTCCATGATCTACTTTTATTACTCATTCGATATGAACTTTTCTTTGATCTAATTCTATTACTTATTCGATATGAACTTATCCCCGATCTAATTCTATTACTTATTCGATCTGAACTTGCCCCCGATCTAATTATATTACTCATTCCTATGAACTTGTCCCCGATATAATTATACTACTCATTCGATCTGAACTTGTCCCCGATCTAATTATATTATTCATTCCATATGAACTTGTCCCCGATTTTAATTTAATATTGTCTAATATATTAAGAGAGCAATTGTAAACGTGTAGCATTAAATGCAGACTGCTCCCTCTTGTCCCAAGTTGTCCTTTTCTCTGACACACACTTCTCTCTCCATCAAGGGCAATTTCGTCCGGCTTTAGGCATGTGGCAACAAAATGTGGTACATTTGGAAAGCTTTTTCCAAATGTGGTAGATTTGGAATGCCACATTTCAAAATGTGGTAGATTTAGTCAAATTCCCAATATTGTTTACATATGTGATATGAAACGGTTCTGTACGAATTTTTCGTGCCAGATTATCCGTTTTTACATTAGCATTACGAGAAATCAAAGATAAAGAGAAGGATGAGAATTTTTCCTTGTCGCTCTGGAATTCCTCCAAGTACACTGAAAACGTCGGCCATTCGGTTGGAGAAGACACCATTTTCACCAGGTCAGAAAAGTCTGTAAAGAACGCTATCTTTTGATTATCTGCACCAATCATACACTTTATCGCCCAGAGAAGAGTCTCAAATTTTGTATGTAATGGAGATAGACTTCTACGGAGGTTGGCAGCTCCCATGGTTGGCGGCTCTCCGTTTGATGATGTACAGAACCAACATGTACCGGAGAGCTTATCACTTTTTTTCCACGATCCATCCACAAAACAACGACATTCAGAATAATTGGAATCAAGTGAATCATCCCCACTCAAAAACTCGCTAATTAATAGCTTTTAATTTTTCTAGAATTAATACAAATACAAATAAAAGTTAGGAAGCGAAGATGAAGTTTCTATGATTACTTTACAACAGAATATTCCGTTCATGTGAGACGGAAAAAAGGTTTTTCACAATTTACATGGATTAGAAGACTGAAAGATATGTAACAATACAACACAAAACAAGTCATGTGATATAAAACTATACTCAGAAAAAATTTCATCCGTATCATGCAACCATACTATACTGGCCATTTGATCTCTTTGAGGTTCAACAAAATGATCGCATTTAAAGCCAAGTACATTTGCTACATTTCTACTACCTGCAAAGATTTTACCATTAGAAAAAGTCATTAAACAAACAAATTTTTTTAAGAGTAGTAGCCCACAAACTTAATAAAAACTACAAAAACAAAAAAGAGAAGAAAAAATAAGCAAAACATCCACCAGAACATTTCAAGACAACATAACATGAAAAATCAACAAAATCATGCTTTTCTTGAAAATAATTTGTTGGAGATTTCAATTAAAAACATCATCGGAGAATTCTAATTAAAAATGATCGGTGATTTCTTTTATTTTATCCTAAAATTTCAGAGTTGCACACCATATTGATGGGAAATGGAAGAGAATGAAAAGGAGAGAAATGTGCAAATGTACACCAAAGAGTGATGTGCTAAGAATAAATAATCTCACAATAACAACAAGAAAATACGAAGCAGCAATAAACCAGTGCCGGCGTTTGGGGTGTGCAAGTGGAGCAATTGTACCGGGTCCAATTTTTTTGGGTAAATTTAAGGGCCCAAAATTTTTTTTTGTATAGAAAAAAATGTAATTTTTAAAACTTTAAGATATCTTTATCATAAAAAAAGCCTAAATATTTTATTTAGTATGAAAGTGGTTAATTTTTAAGTTTTTTTAACATGAAAAAGGCCCAATTTTTTTTTTTTGGTATGAAAAAGGGCCAATTTTTAAGATTTGTACCGGGACTCAAAATTAATTGAGCCGGCCCTGCAATAAACTAACATAACATGAAAAATCATTGAAGGAAACAAGACATACTAGAAGCCGCCATGTTTTGATGAGAAGACTAGTCTTTTATTTTTACTCAGTAGATTGGTTTTCTATATTTTGAGAGGAGTTTCGGAAACTGAACTAATGGTGGTATGTACAGTGTGTACTACAGCTAGATCTTAAAAATAAAAACCAATAATAATTGGGAAAATGCTCATTTTATTCCCCAACTATGTGCAATTAACACAATTATTCCCCAACTAGTGTGCGCATATTTAATCCCCAACTTGTCGTTGACTTAACAATTTTGGCCCAAAATTTGGTCAACGTTTACCAGTTAACTCGAGAAACGTTAATTGACTCGATTAAAACCTAATAAACTCAGAAAATCTCTAAATTTCCCCCCAAATTGAAAGCTAATAACTAGGGTTCTTAGCAATCCCTTCGAATTGGAAGCTTATTCCTTCAACTATTCATGATATTCTCGTCAAAATATGCGAATTCGATTTCAATCTCTATGTGTCTCTCAATCGATCTTGAGAAGAAATCACTTAGGGTTCTTAGCTTTTAATTTGGGGAAAATTTGAGGATTTTCTGAATTTATTATGTTTTAATCGAATTAATTAACGTTTCTCAAGTTAACTAGTACACATTGACCAAATTTTGAGGCAAAATTGTTAAGTCAATGACAAGTTGAGGATTAAAATTGCCCACACGATAATTGAGGAAAAATTGTGTTAATTGCAAATAGTTGGGGATTAAAATGAGCATTTTCCCAAATATAATTCATATATGATTCGTTTTAGTTTTAGAACAAAACAACTAAATTACAACATCTATAACTAAATCTCATAATTACACGTAGACTAATGTTAGATCTTAAAAACCAATAATATAATTCATTTTCTAAATACTATTTTGTAGGGCATGCACCTACACATGTATATATGAATTTTTACTGAATAGTTTTACATTAGGTGGCATGTATATACACATTTTGGAAAAATTGTAATAGCTATAAATATAAACTGATGAAACCAAAATGAAAGGAAAAAAAAACTATGAGTACAAGATATTTTATATGGGATGTGTCGTTTCAAATGACTAAGTGAGTCATTAGTGGTCCAAACTTAAAGAAAAGTATAACTATGGTAGTTAGGAAAATTGAGTCGCTTCAAATTTCTAATTGAGGCATAAGTGATGTAGGATCGATGCTAGTCGACCTTACAAGTGGAACGAGCGTGGTGAATCTTCAACTGGTCGTACGACACTCTTTGAGGATTCAAGTGAAGGGATGATGGACTAAGTGTAACTATGGATTGATTGACGCCACACAGGGGATCGGATGAGAGTCCTGTGATAAGTCTAGAGGCTCAGGCTTCGACGGAATCTCACACGAAGAAGACAAGAGACGAGAGCACTGACGGTGAAAGAAAATACGTTCTTTTATTGATTAGGGTAACAACTTGTGTCTACAATACTGAATGAGGAACCTTATTAATAGTTCGGCAGCGGTGACCTTCTAGGGTCAGACAATAAAAAGAATTAAAGGACTAACTCAAAAATACATGAAAATATGACTCAAAGACTAAAAGGAAATTAAACTAGACTAAAAGAAAATTCCTACAAAACAGATAAAGGAAACTCCTTAATGAATTTAGATTCAAATACTCACCTTGGCGACGTCTTGTGGAGTGTTCTAAGTGTTTGAAAGCTCCAGCCCTCCCTCGAATGTGTTGGAGATGGTAAACAAAGACGACCCCTTAGTTCCTTGAAAAACCGGCAAGAAAGAGGCTTCGTGAGTCTTGAGCTGCAAGCAAGTGTTCCCTTGAATTACTTGAGTAGTCTTGGCTTCTTGACGTGTTCCTAGCTCAACATAGTTGGTGACTTGATCAATCTCCAAGTCTTGAACCTTTGACGTAATGGATTTGCTTTCGGGTTCGTTTAACGTCTCTCGGGTAATTTCTTTAGTGAGCAACTCCCCTTTGAATTCTTCATGCTCTATGAGGACAATGAGACTTTCAATTGACTTGTTGAATTCTTCTCTTAAGCTCTTTGTCGATGTCGTCTTCAGTCTTGAGTAAGCTAGTTTCGATGACCTCATCAATAAGTGTGGTCCAAACATAAAGAATACAAACACAGGCAAATTACTAACAAATGTGAATCATATAACTAGTATAGAGGGAAACCACAAATAAAGAAAGAGAATCTTGACTATGAGTACAACTTCAACTTTAAATTACAGATGAATCATAAGACGAACCTGCTCGTATGATTTATTTGTGAGATTTAAACTTATATAAATCTTTATATTTTGAACCTCAAACTACATCGTCCGCAATTATACTTGCATGGTTTCTATGTTTAAGGGAATCTTCTTTTATTCCTTTCTTCAAATTTGTTACTTTCCTTATAAGGTTTGGACCCTCTAATTTTACAAAACATCCCCAATTTTTAATTGTAACCTTATGTTCACCATTAAAAATTAACGAGCTCTTGAATTTGCTTTGAAGAACTCTTGCATACAAAAAATAAGCTCAAGGCCTTAGAGCTCGAACGCTCCTGCTCTTGTTGGACATTATCTGAACAATGGAGTTTGGTGTTATGAGGTATACACAGAACCCTGTGTTTGAACAAGTTAAGTTCCAGAATAAGCATACTTGGTCTTTGCTTGTATTGAACTCCTGCCAGGAAGGAATAATGAAAAATAACTTTGAAAACTCTCTGTAACCTTGTGTCACAAAACAACAATTAGTACTAAGGACAAGGGATTTGTTTAGTTTCCATTGGACTTATCTTTTCTTATCCTTTAGGTTAATCTTTCTCTATATAAGCATGTAACCATCGATACTTGTTCAATAGGAAAAAGCAGAGCAATTCATTACTTTAGCAATTAGCAACAAATAAATGTAAAAAAAACTCATAGGTTTCATATTTTCGAACAAAGATTAGTCTCTCTCCATGACAACTTTCATCAGTCTCATGTTTTCCTGCAAAAGAATGTTGATAAAGAGCCTGAATAAGCAAAGTCAAAGAAAAGGAAAAAAATCTACCTCTACCTCCCAAAATCCAACTACCGAATTTCATAAACATATTCAACAACTCCAAATTAGAATAATAGAGTTCTAGTAACCCTGAATATATAATAGGGTATACTCAAGTTGAGTAACTCAACCCGTAGTATATGTATCATACCATCTCATGAAACGTTGAATTTATGAACATGTGACTTCTTGAATGCAATTGATATACCTTTGTGCTTGCAAATATGAGAACTCTGTTATGTAGCTTAAACTCTTAACGAGACCCTTCGTATTTGTTTGTTTGTCAGGTTGATCATCGCTGCCATCTTTGTTATGGTATGCGGCTATGAGGGGATGGTTCTTCCGTTGAAGAGGATGATTCATCTGAGCCATGAACTCGATCTTACTCAGCTTTGGGGAATTTGATTCTGCTCGGCATGGAAGGATGTTACAGTCTCCTGTCCACGGAGCTTTCAACTTCCCTGTTGAAAGAGACGCTAATCGACTTCTCTCAGTGTAGGATACTTTTATTTGTTATGTTTCTTGATTTGATTCCATCTCTAAACCTACTTCCTAAAGATCTTTTCCTTCTGTTCTTGTTTTGCTTTCATCACAGGCTTTACTACACGACATTACAAATTGGGACACCGCCAAGAGAGTTCAATGTGGTAATTGACACGGGAAGTGATGTTTTATGGATTAGCTGCATTTCATGCGTCGGTTGCCCTCTCCAGGTATAACTTTCATTCATATATATAGCATTTCAATTTTGTGAAACATTTTCTTCATGATTTTGCTTTGGTTTTATATCTGATCACTTGTTTTGCCTCTGTTTTGTCGCAGAATGTTACTTTCTTCGATCCTGGAGCCTCATCAGCAGCTGTAAAGCTGGCCTGTTCTGACAAGAGGTTCTTCTCGGATCTATTAAAGAAATTAGTCATCACTTCGTAAGATCCTATTGCTCTTTTTTTTTTTGTATATTTTCTTATGTTTTCCTTATGTTTTGTTTATATTTTGCTTATATTTTGCTTATATGGTTCTTGATTTTTGCTCAAATTAGATCATCAATTTTTTTCTTATTTTAATACAATATTTCTTTAGAAATATCTCAAATGTAAATAACAACTTCAAAACTATTGAATTCTACATTTTTTTTTTTGCTACTTTTTCATTCTACAATATCTTAACTTTGTTTTAAGTTAAGTTGAGTCATGTCCATAACTCATAGATAACTCAAAAATGTTACCAGTCATGAACTATAATAAGTTTTTGAGCTTAAGTTTTCGTTACAATGTGTTTATTTACAATTTGTAATCTTTAATGTGTGATTGGTTGGTCAAATGCAGAAAGCTAACAAGACAGGAAGCTTCACAACAACATTGTAAGAGAAATAACACCAAGTAGTAAAACAGCTAAACGATGATCATTCTTTACTTGGCTTTGGTCAGATTAGTTTCGGACATGTGTGTGTTTGTGTGTTTTTCAGACTAGTTTCAGATTACTTTGGTTTATTTTCTCTACGCATTTATTAGATATCATGGTTTGAATAATTGTGTTACAAGTCGAGAGTTAGAAAGTGATTTTTCTTTCCCAAAAAAAAAAAATCTGTGAGGTAAAGAAATAAAAAGGATTCGCTTTTGTTATATCCCAACTTTCCATAATTTGCAGAAAACCCCCCAAACTTTCTCGTAAATAATAAACCATACGAAACTTATGTTGACTATGCAAATTAAACCCAAAAAAGTCAACTTTAATTATGTAGTAATTCAAAAACACCTTGATATTATTTAGTAACCATTTTAAAGTTCCTCAATCAATCCCGCCTTGATATTATTTTTTTCTCATCAACATATTAAAACAGAGGAGGTAGAGAGGAATCATAACTCAAAATTCTTTGTTAGCTTTTTGTCTCTCTGTTTCATGAATCATCGTTTTGATGTCTCTTTGTATAATGATCAACTGAATTTTTGTTCCTAACTTGAGATTACTTTTTTAAGTTTAGATTTTCTTAGTTTATTACATTGTTTGAGGTTAAAGAGTAAAGACAATGCTTTTGTTTCTCTTTCGATTTTGTGTCCTTTGTATTTGTTCTTCTATGTTGTTCCACGGAGATAATCATGATTCTTGTCTTAGTTTCATGTCAATAGTTAGTTAAAATCTGAGACAACAAGTACTATGTTTTAGTTAATTGACATCATTATTTTTGATGTTTTAGTTAGTTATTTATTACCTTTGATGTTAATTAATTGATACAACTGCTTAATGTGTGTTGTAGGATCCTTGTGCTGTTCTTCTTGGACTACTGGTAGTTTTGTCTACATTTCAACATCTGAACAATGGGGCAAGGTATTATGAGGTATGTATTAGAGACAAGGATTCTCTCAACGTCTTTTAATAGTCTAAGTCTCTCTCAACGAGTGTTAGCCTAGGAAATTAAAGTAGCAAATCCTGTTCTGATATGAACCTTAAATTTCAAGAATAATTTAAGCAAAAGCTTCCCTTTAACCCAACCCTCTCTTAGAGAATTAGGTTAATTGTTGGAGCTTGGTTTCTTATCTTATTATATAAAGTATGGTTTTCAAAGTTAGTAACTCGCATGATCGTGACACGTGTCAAGTCTATCGATCAGATGTTGACATGTGTCAAAAAATATTTAATTTTTTTCATTAACGAAATAGGAAAACTAAAAAAATAATATTTACATATACTAATTTATAAGAATATCTAATTTCTAAAATTTGTTAACTTTATTTTTCTTAACCAAAAAGGAAAACTAACAATTTCTCTTTATATTTGTTATTGGTCAATTAGATTTGGCATGTGTTAATTGTTTTTTTTTAAAATCATTTAGTATGGATAATAACAAAAAAACAATAACCGTTGAAGTATGGTTTATATGATTGAATTTTTGATTATTTAATGAGAATGTTAATATATATATTTTAATAATTTATTTATTAATTTTAACTCACTTAAAATTAGTTTGCCATGAGGTAAAACTAACTTATTAGATCACGTTATATATAAAAACTATATTCTAAACCATGTTTGTTTTCCATAACTTTTGTGGATTTCTATTTTTTATTAAATGTTTCGTTATTTTTAATTATATTTAATATTAACTAAGATATAGATTTGATATGATATACATACGATTCAGATACAAAATTATTATTAGCAGTTTATCCATTAAGGTGAACTATGAAGACTTGAAATCAAGTTTATTATGATGCTATAGATAGTTAAATTATATTGCAAAATGGAATGTCTAAGATTGAAATTTCGTTTTAAGAAAAATACTAAATTAAATATATAAAAATGTGTCAGTTACTGTTTAGGATTTAAATATCATCAATACGAAAGAATGTGTAGAATTCAGTTTATTACGATGAAATAAATAGTTAAAATGTATAGAAAAATGGAATGTGTAAGATTTAATTTTTGTTTAAAACAAAAAATACTAAATTATTAAATATTAGGGAAAGTGAATGGATTACTATTTATTATTCAAAATTCGAATATCATCGATAACAATTTATATTTATATATTACACCCGCCTATTTAGGCGGGCCTTATCTAGTTAATCATAAAGAGTCTTTATATAGACTCACGTACAAGCCGACTTAACATAATTAAAAAGGAAAAACACCAAAACTAATCTTAATGCAAAAAGGAAAAATACTTAAATCTTAATTAAATACTTTAGGCTCAAGTTAAGGCTTTATGGTTCTACGTGATACCGTAATCCGTATCATGTTCTTGAACCTTCTGAAAGTCAATCCTAAGTTTCTTCACCTCACTTTTGATTCCACTGTGTCACAAAACAACAATAATAGACGGTTTAGTGTAGGATATTTTCCTATTATGTTAACGACAAGGTGTTTGTTTAGTTTCCATTAGACTAATCTTTTCTTATGTAGCTTAAACTCTTAACGAGACCCTTCATATTTGTTTGTTTGTCAGGTTGATCATCGCTGCCATCTTTGTTATGGTATGAGGATACGAGGGGACGGTTCTTCCATTGAAGAGGATGATTCCGTCGAGCCATGAACTCGATCTTACTCAGCTTGGGGCATTTGATTCTGCTCGGCATGGAAGGATGTTACAGTCTCCTGTCCATGGAGCCTTCAGTTTTCCGGTTGAAAGAGGCACAAATCCGATTTCCAGGTAAAAAAAACTCACTAGTTGGTTTATTATATGTTTAGAATTTCTCTAATAAGAGATTTTCTTTATGACAGGATTTACTACACGACATTACAAATTGGGACACCGCCAAGAGAGTTCAATGTGGTAATTGACACCGGAAGTGATGTTTTATGGGTTAGCTGCATTTCTTGCGTCGGTTGCCCTCTTCAGGTATAACTTTTCTTCATATATATAGCATTTCAATTTTCTTCATGATTTTGCTTTGTTTTTGTATCTGATAACTTGTTATGCCTCTGTTTTGTGGCAGAATGTTACTTTCTTCGATCCTGGAGCCTCATCCTCAACTGTAAAGCTGGCATGTTCTGACAAGAGGTGTTTCTCGGATATACAGAAGAAATCTGGTTGTTCTCCACTTGAGAGCTGTTTCTACAAGGTGGAGTACGGTGATGGAAGTTTCACCTCCGGCTACTACATCTCAGATCTCATTTCCTTTGAGACTGTTATGTCCAGTAACTTGACCGTAAAGTCATCTGCTCCCTTTGTTTTCGGGTAAATTTATTCTTTTACGTTATTATGTTTTCTTGTAGAAGCAATGCAAAGTCTTCGAATATTTGGTTGAACCAAATATGAATATTAGCCAGTTTAACCAGATAATCCATGAGAACCTAAATTTTCATACTTTATAACACGCTCTTGATCTTTCAAACTCATCCAGTTAATAAAGTTAACTCCTAAAGCATAAAGCTTACTCTGTTTTTTGGTCATATGTTTACTTCTAAGAATGGAATTATGTTGTTAGCTATGTCATGTCCCTGTTTTGTTGATTTTTTTCTCCAAACTTGTGTAACCTTTGCTGAGAATTACATTTATGGACTGTTTCTTTGGTGTTTCATTCTTGTGTTTGGATAAACCTTTGTTGGTAGCTTTTTCATGTCCCTGTTTTGAGTGTTTATCCTGTTCTTATTTATGAGAGCAGACTGTTTTGCTTTGTTTCTAACGTTTCCATGATTTTCTGCTGACAAACAGGTGTAGCAACTTACATGCTGGACTAATATCACTACTAGAGACATCGATACATGGCATCGTTGGGTAAGGGAAGGGGCGCTTATCGGTTGTTTCCCAGCTTTCTTCTCAACGCCTTGCTCCGGAAGTTTTCTTGCTCTGTCTTAGTGGAGGTCAAGAGGGTGGAGGTGTAATGATTTTAGGTGAAAACAGATTACCTAATACCGTCTACACACCTCTTGTTCGATCACAGTGAGTTCCCAACCCTTACAATATAATCCTCAATTCTCTCATATGATGGTTAGTAGAATAGAATTTCTAACCTAACTACAAAATACATTGCAGGACACATTATAATGTCCATTTGAAGACCGTTGCTGTGAATGATCATCGCTGCCATCTTTGTTATGTTATGGGGCTATGAGGGGATGGTTCTTCCGTTGAAGAGGATGATTTATCCGAGCCATAAAATCGATCTTACTCAGCTTGGGGCATTTGATTCTGCTCGGCATGGAAGGTTGTTACAGTCTCCTGTCTGTGGAGCTTTCAACTTTTCGGTTGAAAGAGACGCTAATCGACTTCTCTCAGCGTAGGATCCTTATATCTCCATACTTTTATTTGTTATGTTTCTTGATTTGATTCCATCTCTCAACCTACTTTCTAAAGATATTTTCCTTCTGTTCTTGTTTTGCTTTCATCACAAGCTTTACTACTCGACATTACAAATTGGGACACCGCCAAGAGAGTTCAATGTGATAATTGACACGGGAAGTGATGTTTTATGGGTTAGCTGCATTTCATGCGTCGGTTGCCCTCTCCAGGTTTAACTTTCCTTCATTAATAGTATTTCAATTTTGTGAAACATTTTCTTCATGATTTTGGTTTTAAAATATTTGGTTGACTCAAATGATAATATTACCAAACAGGTGTAGCAACTCACTGGGTGGACCTCTATCACTGCCAGAGACAACAAAACATGGCATCCTTGGGTTAGGCAAGGGGTATTTATCTGTAGTTTCACAGCCTTCTACTCAACGCCTTGCACCACAAGTTTTCTCGCTCTATCTCAGTGGAGATAAAGAAGGTGGGTGTGTCAGGACACATTATAATGTGAATTTGAAGACCGTGTCTATGAATGATTAGATGCTACTGATTGATCCCTCTGTTTTCTCAGTAGCCAATAGTTATGGGACGATAATTGATTAAGGGACAATTCTTGTTTATTTTCCAGAAGAAGCTTATGATCCACTCATCCAAGCTGTGATTTTTTCTTTTCATCCAATTTAAGATAGATCTTATTTAACCTTTGGAAAAAAGAAGATTCAGAATGCAAGGCAAATATGAGAATGATTGTAGATTCTCCCGCAAGATTAGTCATCACTTCGTAAGGTCCTATTGCTCATTTTTTTTTTTGTATATTTGCTTATGTTTTCCTTATGTTTTGCTTATATTTTGCTTATATGGTTCTTGACTTTTGCTCAAATTAGATCATCAATTTTTTTCCTTATTTTAATACAATACTTCTTTTGAAATATCTCAAATGTAAATAACAACTTCAAAAATATTGAATTCTCAATTTGTTTTTGCTACTTTTTCATTCTACAATATCTTAACTTTGTTTTGAGATAAGTTGAGTCATGTCCACAACTCATAGACAACTCAAAAATGTTACCAGTCATGAACTATAATAAGTTTTTGAGCTTAAGTTTTCGGAAAAATAGGTAGAAAACCCTCACTTTTCCCTAAAACATATAAAAAACCTTAACTTTTTTGTGGGTTTTTAAACTCTCACATTTTCATAAATGATAAAATAAACCCTATTACTAATAAACTCAAATTTAATATAAACAAATTGTTATATTTTTTTCAAATTAAAAATATAAACAACAATTTTTTTTTCTTTTTCAAATTCGAGTTTGCGATTTTTTCTTCTAATATAAAGGTTTTTGCGATATAAAAATTCATTCACCATTTAGTTGAGATTAAGAAAATCACATTTTGTTACAATTAGAAGTTATGTTATATAAACTACAACCAGGATAGCACATTTGTTTTTTTTGTTTATTCGAGTTTTTCAAGTTCTGATTTGGGAAATAGTCAAAATTATAACACAATTTAATTCAGTTGGAGGTTCAATTTTGGATAATAATATAGTTAAATAATTAATTAAATATAATTTATATTATATTTTTAATATATCAAAATTTATATATATATAATATATTAACTCTTAATAGATGTTTATTTAGTTTATTTGGCCCATTGAAAATATTTTGATGTGAAAATTCATACACGTTACGTAGTATTATAAAATTTGGTTTGGTTTCACGTTAGTAAATTTTTGTGATTGAACCGAATAAATTTTTATTAACATAAATTCATATTCGGATCGATATAAGAATTTATATATCACTCGTAACAAAATTTGTTTTGTTCACGTTGATGAATTTTTGTAACACAACCAAATAAAACTTCATTAATTAAATTTTCTACATCATGCCTTAAAAAATTTCAATTTAGAAAAGATTGTAAACTACAGTTTTAGAAGAAAAATCCTAAATTAAATTTATTTCTATTTTTATATAACGATTTGTTTATAAAAATAAGTTTATTAATATTAGAATTTATTTTACCAGTAAAGGTAAGGGTTTAAAAACGGGAAAATTCCCAAAAAAAACCTCATTTATTTTTTATTTGGACGTTTAATACCCATTTGTTTTTGGTTGGAAGAAAAATACACATATTAATAAAACCGTGCGATTTAATACACAAACAATTAAATGTTGTTATTTTCATATTCACGATCTCACAACAAAAATAAAATTCCAATTTTACCCTTACCATCTCAATTAATTATTAACTTTTAGATGACGTGACAATAGTTTTTCTATTTAAATAAAAATTAATTTTATTAATATTGCATTTCTTTTTTTTATCCCAAAAAAATTCAAAATAATTTTATTTTACAAATATTTTATTTTTATAATTAAAATAAAATTAATTAGCAAAAAAATTAATTTTTTTTTTAAAAATAGCTATTTTTATGAATTGATAAATCTTGAGAAAGACGATGAGTTTCAGATTGAGATTTTGTCGAAAATAGTTTCATTCGTGAAGGATTTATATTCGAATAGAGTGTTTCTCACGACGAAGAAAAATTTCATATTGATGCTCGTTGATATCATATGCATCACGACGAATAAAATCAAATTAGTTTTATTGGCGATGAAGATTTTGGATACGATTAAAAAGAGATCGTGAACGGTTATCGAATTTGCAAAAGATGACGACGGAGATTGTTTACCGGCGATTCTTGTAGAAATTAATCGAGAAAATTTAGAATCGAAGAGGAAACGTCTCTTTGACATTGCAAAGACGAAATAAGATTGTACAAATGACTATTTTTAGTATTTTTTTATTTTCTGCTAATTTTATGTTTAATTTTAAAATAAAATAAATATATAATTTTTTTTTATTTTTAGTCAACATAAATAAAACATTAGTAAAATTAATTTTTATTTAAATAAAAAAACTAATGTCACATCATCTAAAAGTTAATAATTAATTGAAATGGTAAGGGTAAAATTGGAATATTCTTTTTGTTGTGAGTTCGTGAGTATGAAAATAACAATATTTAATTATTTGGATATTAAAACGCACCGTTTAATTAATATGTGTATTTGTCTTCCAACCAAAAACAATTGGGTATTAAATGTCTAAATTAAAAATAAATGAGGTTTTTTTTGGGAATTTTCCTGTTTAAAAACCTACAAAAAAAGTTGAGGATTTTTTATATGTTTTTAGAAAAGGTGAGAGTTATAGATTTTTTTATATGTTTTTACCTATTTTTCCTAAGTTTTCGTTACAATGTGTTATGGCTTATTTACAATTTTGGGTTATATCATTTGTAAAATTGTTAACTCAAAAGATTATTCAATATCTAGAAAAATCTCGTGTGTTAGAGTTGAATTATTATTTGCATACATTTTAATTTCCATTTTTATTTGTTTCCACTAAAATCTCATCATAATTTCTAATAATGATGCTAAGAAACGATTCAACAACTTGGTCAAAATAGTTTCTTAAGTTTTTAATTTCTAGTTGACATTTTCAAATAAAGTTGTGCTTATCAGAATTAGTTTTTGGTTTTAATTTTTATAGTTTTATTGAAACATACACAAAACTATATATATATATATATAGGTGCCAAAGCTCATTGTCAATATACTCAAAATTTCTTAAATTTTTTAATTACTATGCCACAAAACTATATTTTTTCTATTTAAGATACTATCATATTATTTAATCTATTTTTATTTATTAAATTAGTAAAACATATTTTTATCATGAATAATTTATATTTGATTTTGTTTTTTTAATATATACTGCAATTGCTACATCATAAATGTAACCAGTCATCTGTTTTAAGAAAAATCATATTTCTATAGTAAATTCGTTGCATCAATCTGCAATTAAACCACATAACTGCAACCTAATTTTTATTTGATAAGTCGAAGCTTTTGTAACATCCTGGCTCTCCAGATCATCAACGTTTTTTGTGATGCCTTGGTCATGAGACGTTGTTTTGTGAATAAAGGTATATTAGTTTCTAGAAAATTGATAAAGCTAAAATAAAATTGACAAGATACACATTTAAGCTCACGGTTCATTCATTTAATTTAGAAGGAATGTAACGGTAGAAGACATGGAGAATCTCGCGCTACAAAAAAAACCTTGTTTCTTATGGCCAGAAACGTAGGATTCTACGAAAAAGGTTGTTAAAATGTCTTGTAAAAAAATCAATATTGGTAAGAATTCCGTAGTATACTTCCTACGAAAAATTGTCGTGGCACATTTAGTAAAAAAATTTATAGGATAGCGGAAGGGAATTTTTGACGATTTTCCTACCAAAATATTCGTAGGAAATACATTTCCACCATTTTTCTATCAAATATCTCCTACCATTTTCTTGCGACTCGTATTTTGGTAAGAAACATTTATTTTACCACTCTTCTACCAATTAATTAATTAATTAAGTAAAAACATTTTATATATTGAGACAATTTCTAAAATGGACCATTTAGCAATTCTAATTATAATACTGGTACCATCTACATATACATTTTTACAGGGGATTTTTGCATAAATTCTTTTGGATCCGGGTTTGACCCGGTTTTAATCTATTCGGATCTTGGATAAGCAATTTTAGGGATGTTGTCTTAATTTCAAACTGATAAATGAAGCCATATTGTCTTTAATTCATCTACTTATTCTTATACTATTTCCATATTAATCATCTCCGGATACTTAGCATTTACCATACCTAATTGATTAACTCCATTTTTACCAAAATCAAAACAAATAACTTCTCACATACCTTAAGTGTATATTGTTCCTTTATTTTCGCCAATGCAATCTGCAACAAATATTAGAATGTTAATACGAAATTTTTTTTATATCAAAATTTTTTTTAAGGAAAACGACATTTATACTATAATTACACATATATTTTTTGTTACCTTAACTTCTTCCCACATTAATAGGCTCTATTCTTCCCAAATTATGGCGATCGAATCTTCAATCATATATATTGTAGTAACAAACCAAGATTGATATTCACATTGTTTCCTATTAAAATGGTAAAGATTTTGTGGCAAATCACATTTGTTTCCTAAATAAAATGAACAATATTAAATCTACATTTAATCCCACGAAATGAATTCTAACAAACCAATATTTGACAATAAAATTGTTTCAATGATAAAGATTTTTATGCAAATTAAATCACATTTGTTTCCTAAATAAAATGAACAATATTAATTCCACATTCAATCTCACCCAATAAATTAAAAATCTTGCATAACTAATGATTTTACTTTTCTTTTCTATAGCATCTATGTGGCATATTCTATGAATTTTCGATTCAAAGATTTTTTAAAATATCTTATACTTGCTCATCAAGATTTTCCAATATTCTCTAACCTAAAAACCTACCAATCTTCTCAAAACAATATAAATACACCCTCATTTTCAAGATCTAAACTCACCAAACACGAAACCATTTCTACTTTACCACGTGCAAACAAAACTCAAAAATGTCTGCCTCATAAAAGGTGAATTGTTACTCCTTTTAATATTTTCATGAGTGTTTTTTTTTCTAAATATTTTAGGGGGATGAGATCCATGCATGTGTGAAAAATGATTTTGTGATTTTGAGAGTTATTTATGTATTTGCTACTAATGAAATTGTTTGACTGAAGGTATATACTTGCTGTTTCTTCCTTTCCAACACATGCAATTACTAATGATGGAATTCTAGAAGAAGTTCATGAAGATTCTGGAAATATGATCAACCCAACTTCTATTGTCTGTGGTGGACATGGTGGTCAAGTCCTACAAAACTTAATACAAATTATCTATTATACTGTTCTTAACTCAATAATCCAATAATGAATTTGATTTTTTTTGTCTTTGTTAGGCTCCACTAATGTTGACTAATAGTTAATAGACTACTGTATCAACTACTCATTCATCTAAGCGTATCTATGCATCTAATATTGGTTAATCTCCTGAAGATGAGAACATCAAAAAGGAAAATATCGACCGAAAGAAGATTCTTGGTCTTAAAGTCAAGATTGAGTAGAAAAGAGTGAATTGCTTCGCAGGTTTGGAGTTTTTATTTGGTTTACTGTTGCTTTGATCCATTTTATTTTATTTTGATGACTTATCATTGTTTTAAGAGTCTGGATTATGCAATGGTTTACGTGTTTTCTTCAATAAATTGTTCATTTATAACTTTTCAAAGTTTCTATTTAGATTTTTTGAATAATATATGTCAATGTTTATAATTTTCTAAGAGTATTCTGAAAGAACTAACCTGATGTAAACCAAGGTTTGATACTCTAAGAGGCTTAGAGCCCTCCACCGTGATCAAGATGTTTAACTTCTTCTTCCTGTTGAATGAAAAAGTGAACATTCTATTAAAAAATAGACCTTTAACTTATTCTTTAAATCAATGATTTGTGTCGTTTTAACTTTGATTGATAGCAAACTAAATAAAAGATCCCATTTAACCAGTCGATTAATCCACTTTGAAGTAGCTTCATTACGAAAACTCCAAAATCCATCGAAATCTGATAAGAGAAGGTTGGAGAAGACAAGCTCCGATTGAATTCGAAGAGCCGCTCGAACCTAACCGAGCCACTAACCTGAATAAAATCCATTGATCGATTGAAGGGTGAGGTATTATTCGACGATTAACTCATATTATCAGAGATTACAAGTTGATTTTGGAAACTCGCGTAAGGAAAAGAGAATAAATAGATGTCTCGCTTACCTTTGCAAACATATCAATTCAGTAAACAAAAACTGATTGTTGTTTAACTGGGTTCGATTAGAACTCATTATATCGATTGATGCTTGAGAAATTGCAGATCCAGAAGGTTGTCGGTGATTTTTTTTTTTGGTTCTGTTTTTTTTACATCGGTCGCTGATTTTTTTTTTTTTTTTTCGGTCGCTGATTTTTGTTTTACAGAGAACGTTCCCTTTCTATTTTTTTTTGTAGAATAAATCTAATTGGGCTTTGTGGGCCTTTCAAAAGTTGCTAGAGTTTTGATTCTTTGTTATTAGGTTCTAAAACATGTTTAATTTGAAGTATGGACCTAATGATAAAGGATTATTTTTTTTCAACTGATAAATGATTAGTTAAATAACTTTTTTTTTCACGAGAATTCATAACTTCATACCTTATTGTCTTATTCCTTTTAAATATATATATAACAATAATTCGTTTAATTATATTTTTGATAGCCATTCAAGAAAATCATAATTACATGGATTACTAAGGATAAGTTAGTGTTACAAAAATGTAAAAATAAAAAGGCTGGTGCAAAATTTTCAATTCCGATTTTAACCGGTGTGTTTTTCAGGGTCGTCTCAAAATTAAAATTTTAAAATAAATTCAAATATAAATCTTCAAAAATAAAATAAAATACGTAAAAATTTAAAATTATGGATCTAAACTCATATATTATGTAAAAAAGAAAATAAATTCATATTTTAATAACCTATACATAAGTGACTAATGAACTTAAAATACAAATCCTACAATATATAGATATATAAATATCTATATATATATACATTTAAATTAAAAAACAATAGCATATATGTAAAAAAAAAGCCTTAAAATAAAAATTCAAATTTCTATTTAGCAAAAATATAGGCATGCGGTGTACCGCGGGTTAACATCTAGTAAAAGTGATAAAAACATCCGGTCTTCGTTGAGTATATGTATATTTAATAACTGGATCGCTGGGTCAACTGGGTTTGACCACGGATCAATTCATTAAAATTTATTTAATATTTATAGAGATTATAAAGTTTTTATAAATAAAAAAATAAAATAAGCATACTATATTTAATAAAATATAAAATCTAACAATAATAGTAAAGTGATTCAAATTTTTAAATTCAACTAAAAGGTTTAAAATCGTAAAAAATACTAAAATAGTAGAAGATCATCAATGACAGAAATAAACTAACAAAACATCGTAAATTCAAAACAACTAATCTCGGTTGTCTCTTTCACTATTTCATTCATTCTCCTCATGCGGTATTGTGAAGTCTTTATCCAAATCTAAAATGAGTCTAATAGCTGAAAAAAATTCTTTAAAATACTGAATAAAGTCTAAAATCCTATATTTTATTCTAAAATTAATGAATTTTTTGAAACCTATATCCGATCGGTTCGACCGGTTCACCGGATCACGGGTTAATGGCGGGGTTTTGTAGGTTTTTTCCGGTTTTAAAATTGCCGGATATTAACACTAAACCCAAACCGGAGAAGCGTCCGGATCGTGGATTAACCGGTCGGACCGGGTGGTCTGGGTCGGGCGTGAAAACACTGTATTTTAGTTAATTGATTCCATATTTAGTCTAGTATTTTTCCTCAATTATTTAATTATTACTGGAATGAGATTATCACCCAATTTAAGATAGAGCTCAATTACCTTTGGAAAAAGAAGATTCAAAAAGAATATTTCAAGTGTTGTTTTGCGATATGGGTGTCCCATTACCTATGAGAGTTTTCAGTGCTATATATTACATTCGAAAACATTCATGTCATCTGTATACGTACATATGATAATAACAGAATCACAAATCCTTTATTGCCTTATCAAGAACACATACATGAAGAGAACTCAAGGTTTTAGGCCTTGATTCTCAACCCTAGGGTCTTGCAGGAGTCTGTTAATTACAACACCAGTTCACACACTAGTTGGATAAGCTTCTTCTATCTAATTGATATATCTACTCATTTATACTATAGTTTTCATAGGTTTTTAATAAGTGTTCTATATGGTTTTGGTGTTTTAAAGGTGTTTTTCAAGTATTTGTTATGTCAAGAGTCTTCACATGTCTTTTCGAAAAAAATAACACAAAGTGTTGAAAAACAAGAAATTAGACAGTTTCTGAGCACCAGAAGTTTGTCATTAGCTGAAGAACTTTATGACCATCAAATTAAGTGAATTTTGGACACAAGAAATCCACATGAGTTAGTCGATACACTAAAGACGCAGGTGTAACATGTCCTGCAGTCTCGCTAAAGAAGCAAGCTGAGAACGAAAGATTAGCCAAAGCTCCTCATTGGGGGCATAGGCTCTGGTCCCACGGCCAAAAGGCACATCGTCGCGGGTATCCACAACGAGCCTGAGGCCAGATCACATGTTCATCCCTTTGGCCAAAACGGCAACACTTCTCCCTTTTAGACTTAGAGAAAACTTTGAAGATCTCTCAAACCCAATAATACATTGTCTTAAGCCTCATAGGGTACACATACATGCCCTTGAATGCCTACCAACACACACACAACACCTCTCATCTCCCATAGCTATAGAAACATTTTTGCTTTCTTCGTTATTTAAGGGAGAAGATTCATCGACTTTGTATCACAAAGAACATCTCTTTACCGTGTCGTTTACTCTAAATATGATTATGCAATCCTTACTCTAATATGAAGTTTGGTTTGTGTTCGATTGCTACCAAATCTTCTCGAGATTCATTTCTTACTTAGGTAGAGTCAAGATGTTGAAACTGTTTTATAGTTTCAGATCGAAGCTTGGGAGAAACTTCATAAATATGATCAGCCAACAATTCTACATGGAAAATTGGATAGTTCAAAAATTTATTTAATTAGATTTGTTACACTTCAAGCAAGTAAATTGTAAAAGCATTGGCGTTGGATTCTTTGGTTTGGCCATTAAATATTAAACAAAAATCAGACTTAATTTTAAAAAAGAAAGAAAAAATTGAAAACTTTACTCAGACAATGTCTCTAACACCCATTTTTGAAAGAAGCACATTTACTACAGTGGAGGATAGAAATAGGAGGAGACTGAAAAGCCGAGGAAGAGTAAGCCTCCAACAGTTGCGACTGTGCGTTGCGAGATCCTTGAAGCCAGCATGCTTCCTCCAACAACCGCTAGTGAAGTACACACAGTGTGTCCAATACTTGCCCCGATGGCCACTCCTATGGCGTTCTTGTGAGTCGCCAACTTCAAAAAAGATAAAAGTCATTCACTGGTCAATTTTAGTAAGAAGCCAGATATGAGAGATGAGTCTTACAGCTATTGTAGCGATCTGGCTACGGTCGCCCCATTCAGCTAGAAAGGTTAAGATGAAGGACTGCAAGAAAATACAAGAGAAGGGTTATAGTCAACTTTTTAAACAGTTTACCGCTAAAATCATATAACTGAAAGCATCAATATGCCCAATCGAAAAATACCTCCAGAAATATTGGGGTACAAAATCTTGAGAATAATCGACGGAAGGGTGTCTTCCCTTGGCCTGACTCGAGCTTCTCTTCAACCTTTACCAAAGATGATGGGAAGTCAGACAACTTTCAATGTTACTAGCAAATAAGAATGTCAGGCACAATCTCTTTTGATTATCAACATGCAACCAACTGGCATCACATGTAGCTTGAGAACCACTTACTTCCTCCATTTCCTTCTTCTGGTTTGACTTTGAATCAGTAGACCTCCAAGCAATGTAGAGTAGTCGCAAACCAAAAAATGCATAGAGAACTGCATTTTCAAAGATGTAAGATCTTTCAAGTGCAACAATTCAAATGAGAATACAGATGTATCTACTACTACAACATTTAAGTGTTTTACTTTTACACAAAACAAAAGACATGAAGAAATCGGTTTGGATAGCTACTTTTCTACTAAATGAATCAATTACCCTTCCATTTCACCATGTCAAATAAACTTAGATACCAAGGTATACAGTTCAAGTAAACTGGAGTTGCAAAATCACAATCACAAGACGCACTGAAAGATCAGTGGATAAGCTTTAAGCTTTAGACTGTACGATTTAAATAGACAAAATTCATGATCATATAGTTGCATAGCACTCTCAATTTATTTAAGCCAACAAATTCTTTGTAAAACCAAAATTATAGCGTTGACAGTGTCACACTCACACCATATGAGAGAACTACATACCCGTAGCAGCACTGTTGGTGTGCTTCCTTGATATCAAGTTTGGCACTATCCTACCAAGTCCAGTCGAAAGTATCTAAATGTAATTCAGGAATATCACAACAATTAGACATACAGTGAATATAAGAAACTAATTAAGATAAACACACGATGAATATCCCAGTAATCTTCCACTTACAGTCATAACAAACAAAGCTGAGAGTGCACCAGATAAAACAGTAGCTTTAGGATGTCGCATAGCCATCAATGCCGCTATTATAAACGTTTCATCCCCAATCTGACATATAACGAGAAACAAAGATTAAGCTCTAACAACTAAAACTAAAAATGACCTAAGCTTGATATCAATTCCAGTGAATCCGAAAGCAAAACACACGAACCTCGGTGACAAGTATCATCGAGAAACTCGAAAACAATGCATCAAAGACACTAGGACCAGTAGAATCAAGGTCAAGATTCAAACCAAGAGCACCAATATTGTCTACAACAGTATCAACTCCAATTCGTTCAGTACCAATCTGAAATCAAACAAATAAAGAATCAAAAGAGATTCAGATTCGAAAAAAGCAGATCGAGATTCAAAATTACCATTCCACGACGACCAAGCTCTTTACCAGATCCTTCAGATTCTTGTTTCTCATTGTTGTTAACCACCGAATCCTAGTAAAGGAGCAAAAAAAGGCGTTATATTATAGATAATTGAATTTTCAAAAAGACGAAATCAATGGAGGAGAAAATAATCGTGAACCTGAGCGGAGACTGAAGAAACGAAGATGAAGAAGAAGATGGTGGTGGCGACGAGAATCAAACGGGTAGGGTTTGAAATCAAACCCATGAGTGATGCGAGAGTTTTGCAGATCTGTTTTTTTTTTCGCGATGAAGAAAAAAAATGATGAATCTCTCTTTCTTCAAATTTTCTCGGGAAAGAGAAAAATTGGATCTGGAAAATTGGAGACTGAAGATTACTTACGATTTAGAAGAGCATTGGAAGAATCGATCGGGGAGAGCTTGAGCGTGTGAAGCTGCTCCGAAACAGAGATCTGTACGGTTTTGAAGCTGTAATGGAATTAATCAAGTTAACACGGTTTACAAAATATTTTATATCTTATTATATAAGAATTTGCTATATTTTAAGAAATTGCACTATATATATTAAATGCGGAGAATAATCGGAGTAGGTCGGAAATTTTTAGAACATGGACTAAAAGATATGAAAATGGTTCTTCTTGATTTGGTTTAGTTCCGGTTTGATATTTTTAGTTCGGGTGAATAAGGATGTCAAAAAAAATCTCGTAGAGCTCCAACGATTGAGACTCCATTACTTGTTGCTTTAAAATTTAAATAGACGAAGTGGATCCAAAGCAAAGATTTTTCTAGTTTGTAGATTCGGTAGGAGGAATGTCATGGGATCAAGAGCGTAGAAAATGTCTGATGCGATTTTTCTTATCACCATCGATTGTTTGTTGTTGAGCACTCCCTCAACTCTTATATATCACGACTTATAACTCATTATTTGCATCAAATTTGTCAAAACTAGATAGTGAGAATAAGGGAAGAATCTCTTAAATGAGAAAATTGGTATAAAGTACCACTCATTCAAAGAAGAGAATGACTATAAATTCTCTCCATGATAACATCTCTCCATGAAGGAAGAATTTGACACAATATATAGTCTCTCCGTAAAAAGGAAACTAGAGCTAACTCCATGAAATAGAAATTTGAAAGTAAAGAAATCTCAGTAAATAAATAAATCATGACCTAAGCCTAACCAATTCAAATCCCACAAAGTAAGACACAACAAAGCTTTTAGAAAACCATGACTTACCAAAGCAGATGAGACGGATAGCGAAAAGCAAATCCGAATATAAATATGTTCGAGGAAGATGAAAAAACAGGGTGATTCTCTAGAGTACAGGAACCATGACTAGTACAAAACATATTATACATGAAATATAACTCGCATTATGAAATCAATAGTTATGAAAATTTCACTATACATGGAATATAACTCGCATTTAGAAATGACAAAATTGTCCATAATTTATCTTTTTCTTTGTGCCATTTTTCTTTTTATATTTTCTTTGTTAAAGAAATCATCATCTTATGTTGCCATTGAGAAGATTGTGGAGTTTAAGGTTTGCGTAGCTTTGTTATCGTTATTGTGGAAATATTTATAATCATTTGGCATAGTCATAACAAACTACAATTACTACAATTTTAAAAAGGAAAACAATTTAGTATGATGCAAAAATATGTGAAAAAGAAGATAACTAGATATGATGAAGTATTTGATGCATAAAATTACAATTAAATATGCTGATACTACATTAGAGAAAATACAGTTTTGCCATATCTATAATATACAACTAGATATGATTACATACTTATTGAATTATATAATTGAATATGTAAAAGCAATAAATTAGATACGATGATTATAAATAGGGGATTAGCAAAAATGCCCCTTTTTCTATATCCCTTTTCAAAAATACCCCCTATAGCTGTCCATTTTTAAAAATACCCCTTTTTATGTACAAAATGACTAAATTACCCTTCTTTTAATAAAAAATATCACAAATATAGAAGGAAAACACAAGAATGTGCACACATCAAAATTACAAATTTGATTTTGTAAAAACTTGTAAAACCTTTAAAATACCTTGTAAAATTTTCCCGCCAAAAATTTTTCCCGCCAAAAAATTTTTTTTGCGGAAAAAGTGATTCCGCAATTTTTTTGGCGAAAATGTTTTGGCGGGAAAAATTTACAAGGTATTTTAAAGGTTTTTACAGGGTATTTATAAGGTTTTACAATGTATTTTAAAAGGTTTTACAAGGTATTTATAAGGTATTTATAAGATATTATAAGATTTTACAAGCTATTTTATAAGGTTTTACAAGTTATAAGGTTTTACAAGTTTTTTATAAGGTTTTACAAGTTATAAATACCTTATAAAACCTTATAAGTACCTTGTAAAATACATTGTAAAACCTTACAAAACACTTGTAAAAACTTTGTAAAACCTTTAAAATACCTTGTAAATTTTTCCCGCCAAAAATTTTTTGCCAAAAAAATTGCGGAATCACTTTTTCCGCAAAAAAAAAAATTTTGCGGGAAAATTGCGGGATCACTTTTCTCGCCAAAAATTTGCGGGATCACTTTTCCCGCCAATTTTTTTTTAAAATTTTGTGGACCTAATTTTGTTTCAAATAAGGGTAAAATGGTCATTAAAAATTAAAAGAGGGCAAACTTAAAAATGGACTCTCAAAAGGGGTATTTTTGAAAAAGGGTAACTCAAAAGGGGCATTTTTAACAATTTCCCTTATAAATATAATTATATATATATATATGTAATTGGATGGAGGAATTTCAAACATGCCCCTTTTTCAATATCACTTAAAAAAAATACCTCATAAAACCTTATCAAAATATCCTTAAAAATCTGAGATTTTATACAAATACGTGTATAACCTTATTAAAGCATACACAAATTTTTTTTTTAATTTAATCTTAAGTTATATTCAAAAAAAATATCGTTTTATAACTAGTGCAACTTTTTTGGAGCCACATTTGAATCCCCACTTCATAACGCTTGTCTCCCATTCCTCGGACTGTGGAAATCTGATTTCGGACTTGCTTATCTATCCACGAACCAATTGATTATGCCTACGCCCATTTCTTTCTCTCCAAGTAGTATAGACAATGGCTTGAAACACATATCTAACAAGGAACCCCTCCATTCTACTCTTATGATTCTCTAAAATAATGGTTAGATTAGTGGACCAATTTGTTGTTAACCTGGATCCGAAAATGCCTTTAGCGAGAGCTGCCCAGATTGATGAAGTGTACTGACATGTGAAAATAAGTGATCTCGTTGTCACGACCCGTTTTCAAGAAAAGCCCGTGACATCGTGCTACCATGGTGTTACAAAAAACACAAGTCCCCGAGGATCATCTATTCCATTTTACAATTGGCTCTCCCGTCGAGAGGCGATTGTGAGCAGCAACCACACGCAAAAAGAGAACTTCGGAGTTGCGTGAGTAAACAATACTCCCTTATGCCAAGTAACTCCATGAGTAAATTACATTTCTATGTGTGTAAAATCTTATAAATATTTAATAATTACTTTACAAATATTTTCTAAATATCTATTAAAACCTTATAAATACATTGTAAAACCTTATGAAATACCTTGTAGTAGTTACTATCAAGAATTAAACCTTATAAAACTTTTTAAAAAATTCTGATTTAATGAGAGGTATTTTTGAAAATGGATACGTAGAAGGGGCAATTCTCAAAAAATTCCTTGGATATAACTACTACATATGGAGTAGCAACAAATTTTGTACGAAAAATATATCGCATTGTTAACATATTAATAATTTAATAACTAACCTTAATTCTCCTTATTATTTAGTCAATTTTTATTGATAAGATTTTAAAGAAGATACAAAGAAATCACAAGTTTTCTCAAATTAAACGTTTATTGATAGAGATTGGTAAAGGTTATCTCGTAAGTTTTATTACTACGAAGTTTCGAGATCTAGCCGAGATTTTGTCATCGATAGACTCGATCCTCACGACATTCACTCATTCATGTGAGGGCTAAAGTATCACTTGGCTATCTTTGATTTGATCTTAGTTTAAAGTAGGACAGTGCCAAACTATATTGGGACTTGAGGCTAAATAAAAAGATAATACATAGTCAGTTTAAAAGAATTTTGTTATTAGACTTTCATATTTTTTCTCTCAAAGATCTTTTTCTATTTTTATAAATAAAATAGTACAAAACTATAAATTAATTAACAAATAGTTAAGTTGTATTGTTAACCAAATCTCTAAAGAGGAGAATGTAAATAATAGAAAGTTGAATATTTTTATCTTATTTTATATATTTCTATGTTTGAGGCGAATGGCTTACTTTTATTAAGATAGGCACAGCCTTTACTGCATAAAGAATTTTTATTTTTAATCGTTTCTATCATTTCATCGTTCTTCTTGATAATTTTACTCGATATTTTTGTATCATTGTATTGTTTATGATCTCTCTATAAACTATGTTTCTAGTAAGTGAAAGATGTTAAGAAAAAAGAAAGTTTAATTTTATGTCTAATGTAAAGTATGTGTTTTATATACAAAATATATTTAGAAATTTGATTGATTTATTTTCCCGTAAAAACGATTTATACAAATGTACTAACTAACCAAAATTTGTTTTGTTATTTTCTCTAACTTGGTTCCTTTGTGGTGTGTGGGCATTTCGTTAACGGGCTTAGAAAAGAAAGCCCAATACTTACAAATAAACGACACCGTTTAATAACGCAGCTAACGACATCATCGCCTCCGACGAGAGAAAGGTTCGCTAGGTCTTTTCTGCGGCAGCAATGGCGGCGAGAGGTGCTCTGCTTAAATACCTTAGAGTCAATGTCACACCTTCTCTTCAACTCTCAAGCAGTATCTCTTCCCCTCCTTTGTACGTTCTTCTTCGTCGTTTCTCTGAAGAAGTCAGAGGATCATTTCTCGACAAATCCGAAGTCACAGATCGCGTTCTCTCTGTCGTCAAAAACTTCCAAAAGGTTGAACCTTCTAAGGTATTTCAAATTCTTACATGTGATTTTTTGTATTCAATTGTGATAGATAGACATTTGATTATGGAACCTAGAGTTTTGTGGTTTCTTGAACATTTTGTTGTTTGCTTTGTGCCAATGTCAATTTGTACTTCAAGGCATTAGCTTTAACCGAACCAAAAAGTAAGAGACCTAACCAATTCAGTGATTCAGTGAACAGATGCATTGTCTTTTGATTATATAGATAATGATTGTACATTTTAGCGAATCATTCGTCCAAACGCTTTCGATTTATTAGTCCATGGGTTAGTCTTTGGATCAGCTACTTGGTTGGATATGGAACTTATGGCATGCTCATTGGTTAGTCTTTGGATCAGCTACTTCGATTTAGTCCATTGGTTAGTCTTTAGTTATATGTATCTGAGGCCATTGCGTTTTGATTTGAACTTGCCATTACTTAGTTGTTTGATTTGAATAAGTTAGTGCAATTCATGGTGATGTAGGTGACACCAAAGGCGCATTTCAACAATGATCTAGGTTTGGATAGTTTGGACACTGTGGAGGTGGTTATGGCATTGGAAGAGGAGTTTGGATTCGAGATACCCGATAACGAAGCTGATAAGATACAGTCGATTGATCTCGCTGTTGACTTCATTGCTTCACACCCGCAGGCAAAATGAGCTAGAAGATATTCTTTGCCAGAAAGATACATTTCCAAAATCGAAGCCATTGCGAAGAAGATTGTGAAGTTTTAGTTTTGCGTATTTAGTTTTGCGTAGCTTTGTTATTGTTTATGATTTTGTTATGGAAATAATGAACTTCTATCTTAACTCTTTCAAGAGAGTTAGATGATGGCGATTATTTGGCAAGGTATTTCAGATGTATGCAAATCACGAAATGCATGCAAATTTTTATTTCATCAAGTGAGAGGCTAACATGTGTTCCTTACGAACATATAACAGTATATATAGAAGAAAACGAGAAAAACAACCTCGTAGCAGAAGACACCAACACTTGGTGTGTTTCTTTATTTTAAATAGACGAGGAAATAAACACAGGACTACATTTTAGTAATAACACAAGACAATAATGCATCACACGTCGAGCTTAGGAGCCCAACCCGCAATCACATATTCTTTGGCAGCCTTTGTTTTCTCAAAAGACTCAAGAGAGAACAACACCTTCATGTAATTTCGGACATTGGTTAGACTCTCAGGGACATACCAATCCTTGAAATGTCCTAACGTAGTCTCTAAATGGTAAAGCTTTGGTGCCAGGCTCAAATCCACGGCCGTGACTTTATCGCCAGCCACGAAAGGACCAACGTGAGTCCTGAGGTGATGGTCCAACGCCTCAAGTTCATCCAACAAAGCCATGTCGGACCCGTCATTCGCATGATCTTTGCTCGTCAAAAACATCACAAAAGCACCAATGATCTTGGAGCCCACAAAGGCATATTCAGGAGGAAACGTCACGAGGGAAGGCTCCGGGATATCTCTCCTCGATGATTCCCACTATGAGATCGGAATCAGCCACCCAATCTCCATTTTCATTGAACTTCACCAATGGAAGTTTTCCCTTGGGACTAATAGCCAAGAACCAATCCGGTTTGAGAGAAATGTCGATGAGATGAGTTTTGTAAGGAAGCTTCTTCTCCTCGAGAGTGAGAAGAATCCTTTGACCGAAAGGGCAGTCACCAAGAACATCAGGTGCACCTGAAGCGGCCTTTACGCAAACTTCAATCCCCATTTTTGTTTTGTTTTGTTTTCCACAGGAATTGCCATAACTACTATCATTTTTGTAGTGGAAATGCATGACGTGCCTACGACAACATTTGATAAATGAGGTTTATAAATAATTCAATCGAAAGTTAACGTGCCTCCCAACATTCTTCCATTTTTCTTTTCTCTTTTTTCTTTATACTATGGTATTGTTCAGACATTCTGTATTTGGAGACATAAATTGTATTGTTAGCATATAGATTTCCGAAAAACGATTGAACTATAACAATACAATTTATGTCTCCAAATACATAATGTTCTCAATATCATCCTGCCAAACAGCAATTTGCAAACCGTTGTTTAATCCGAAAAGCAAGAGCTGAGGTAGTGGACTTATTTCAAGGATTCTTATTATTTTGTTCTTCTCCAAATCGTAAATGACATAGGGTCTCGGTTCGGTCGGTATAAGCATTTTCTTTGCCAGCCAAACCAATCCACGGTGACCCATGCCTAATAATGTCAATTCATTGCCATGGACAAAATTCATTTGGGATAGGGGTAATACCAGAGTCTTGTTTGACCACTTCCCCTTCCTCTTATCCTCCAAAACCCAAAGGTCGATGGTCCCATCAGAAGGAAGTCGGGAATACTCTAAAACAGCTACTTTGTCTCCATAGTTCATGAGATTAGCGCGACTAGCGTGCCAGATGATTTCAGCCTCAATGGTGTTGATCCTCAAAATCACACAAGTACGTATTCGATATTCTAAGGGCAAAAGAAGAATCTCTTATTTAAAGGACGAGCCGACGATTACAAAAATAGACGAGCTTAATAACTAAGTGACGGGCCGAGCCGCCAAGTTCTTTGACGGTTGTTCAATATTCTCTGCGGAAGTCGTTATTTTGGGTTCTCCTTTTCAATCATTCCTTTTTGCTATTTATAGGGTGCAGAGGTAGGGTATACCGCACGTGTGAAATGTCCTTTTTGCCCCTTGGTCGGTGGGGAAATCTTTGATGGGCCGCAGAGGATGGTTGGTTTGATAAGAATTTTGGGCCCGAGCCCAAAATCCACCATCAACAAATGGGTAATTCAATCATACTAAAATCTTCAGAAGCCAAGTCAAAACTCATGACCACACTCGTGTTCTTAGCAATCCAAGCTCCATAATACATAACACCGTTAATGGCCATAGTACACGGTACACCCTTGTGGGTAAGGACGATGAGAATAAATTTGGCCATTAGTGTTGCGCTATGAAGCCCCACGACCAAGAACCAACACTTGATGGTCGGACCTCACTACTCTCCCCTCATCCTCACTCACCTCCCAAAATGTGCTAAGCACTTTGTATTCATCTTGAACAGGAACGTGCCCAAAAGCGTTCCAAATATTGTCTTCAGTCAAAAGTTTTGATCTTAGAACGGGCAAGATCACACGCTGCCTGGTCGTAAGGTTAAAGATTCGTAAGCTTCTCCCAAGTCTGACACAGATCAAGCCCCAAAGAGCATTCACGAAGTAGCCCTCTAATCCCGGCATGTTCAGAACTTGGTCCATTACACAAACTGACGTATCCGAATGATCATCGTGAGTCGATGAAGATGAGAGGAATTTATAGTGACGCGGGGCTGCCATGTCCACAAGTGACACGAGCAGACGCTGTTGTTTTGCCGATGATGGGGATTCAAGGAAAAGTTTTGTAAAATAGCGGGAGGTTATGAGAGAATACCAGAGCTGTGAGACACACTTTAACCTCGTCACATATTTCGCCGGCAGTCTCGTGAAGATCTTCATCAACAGATCTTCAGGGATGTTGTCAAAGCCGGTGGGTTTCGAATCGGGCTTGACCATGGCTATAGTTCTTCTTTCGAAGTCTTCTGCCTTCGAACTTACCTTCTTCTTCTTCCTAAGCCCTTTCACAGCGGCGAGAAGGAAGGAAAATCGTTCCATAGCTTTTGCTAGATCTCTGTTTCAAAGCCGCTGTGTATTTTTTTTCCCTTGTTGTTAATTCGAAAGTGCTTCAGACCGGACCAAATTCTCGAGGGATCTATTCTCTTGTGCTTTATGTCTAAAAAACCATTTCTCGTATGCCTCTGTTGTAAAAGTTATTTTAGCTTTTATTTTCTTTTAATCTAAAAATGATTGATATCTTTTGCACTTTTATTCGGGTTGCCCATCCGAACCACTTAATATTCGGATCCATTCACCTTAACCAATCCATCGATTTTTCTTCGCTAATTTGCGGAAATTTATTTATATATTTTTATTAATATAAGTTTAATTATTTATTTTTATGTGTTTAGTTAAATTTTTCTTTAATTATCTATAATCGATTATTATAATTACTAGTATAAGTTATTATGCTAGATTCCGTAAAGAATTTTTATTAAATTGTGTTAGATTCAGCAATTTTGTTGGATTTATCCGTTACCAATTATATCATAAATTACTAAGAAAAATCAAATAAATCTTCAATTACAAAAAAAAAAAAAAGAGAAGTTAGAATTTTTCCAACAACATGATAAATCTTTTCAAAGATTTCTTATACATCACATTGATAGTTTTCTTTGAATCTCCCTCTCTTATACATCACGTTGATTGTTTTTTCTGAATCTCGTGTTTGTATTACTTATTAGAAACTTTAGTCTATTTTTAAGATGCTAACTTAGATATCAGAATGTATAATGGGAGATTTGTTAAAGTTGTACGTTTTTGAACATTAAATTGAAGAGGGGTACATTCATAAGAAAAAAAATGTTGAAGGATGCAATTTTAAAGATAAACTAGATCATCACCCGTACTACAGTACGGGATGAATTTCATTTATTACAAAATTTATATATATATAATCATGATATATTATAATAGTAAGTAAAAAAATATTAATTTTTTAATGTCAGTCTATATATATAATATTAGAATGAATATATTTTTATTTTTCTAAAAAATGAGAGTGCATATAATTTAGTTAGATCAAAAATCAAAATATCATAAATGAATCGTATCTAAAACGTAGATTTTTTGAATTAGTTAAAAAAGTTAGCTATTATTTTGAATTAATTTAGGAAATTATTTTTTAAAATTCTAATTGATTGGTTGTTGAAATAGAGATTTGTTTGAGGTAATTACGGAATTTACCAATTATTCACATAATCAAATATGTTATGAACATATATTTGGTATATAATAATACCAAATTCGATCCGTGTGTGGAGTCTATATTTTTATTTTACAATCCCTATGAAAATATTGTGGCACAATCTATTATTCATTATTTTCAAAATTGCTTGCAGAATTAAATTTTCAAATATTTAGAAGTGTCAAACTTTATTTAACTCATCTCATCATAAAATCCTAAAACGTCGTCTATTATAAGGATCATAACTTTCTATCATATAATACATTACTTTTAACCCGCCGCCTACTATAAATATATTAAACATATCTTTTTAGAAAATCAAATTAGTATTTATAATTTTTTTATCTTTTTAATCTATTAAATATTTATGATATTCTTTAATATATTAAATTAAACTTTTTAAAAATGTTCCAAATTAAAATCTTTAAATTTTTTATTGTAGTATGTAAAATTATGAATTTAAAAAAATATATATGAAATTAAATATAAATATTCAAATAGTTATAAGGATCATAACTCATTTCATCATATAATACATTATATTTAACCTGCCGCCTATTATAAATATTTGTTTCAAAAAATCAAATTAGAGTATTTATATTTCTTAACTTTTTGATCTATTAAGTATTGATGATATTAAAAAAAGGAATATATTACTCAAATATGAATTTTTGACCCGTTAAATTTGTTCTTTCATACATTGAACAATTTATATTCGTTTTTAAAAATTCAAATCTTTGTATATGCGGAAAAAAATTACTTTTTTTTTTTATTATGTAAATGATATAATAATTTATTTATTTTATAGAAATAGAATAATATAAAGATGAGAGGTGAAGTATAATGATTAATAACAAATTAATGTGATAAGTTAGATATCAAATCTTATATGTTCATTTTGATTGGTCATTCTTTTTAAAAAAATTAATAATAGATTTTCGTTTTTATAATTAAATTAAATTAATTAAATTGCATAAAATAGTATTTGACTTGTTTATCCTTAATGAGTTGAATTAATTTACTCTATAAAATTTTATTTCTAATGGCATTCTTAAGTAAATTCTTACAAAAGGGAAGGTTAGTTAAGGGTATCTTATAAAGTGTACTCCCCAAATAATAGTATAGGATACAATATACCATTTTATTTTTCGAAATAATAACAAGAATACTATTACTTATTATTTTTGGAGTTTCCCATCAACATATTCAATATCTAGACAGTTAATCATATTACTTTACAACCTCTTTTATTTACTTTTTTCATTTGCTTAGTCATAATAAAAACCCCAAAACCACAACCTCAAGTTTAGTTTTTCTTCACCAAATCTTAGCTTCTTCTCTGAATTCAATCTTTATAGCTAGCACTCTCTATGTTATCGATCGTTAAATACTACTATTGATTACTGTGTACTTGCAGTTTAACGTGTGGTCTCTAAAGTAAAATCTTGAGGCGAAATTAATCGCACATCACTCTTCCATCCAAACAATGGAGAGTTTATTTTTTTGCTTGTAAAAGATAAATATTTGTTAAATAATTATCTTTTAGCACCCGAGCTACTGAAGAGTTCAGATCATGTATTAGTCGCCAATATTGTGTAGCCAACATGGCATAATTAAAAATTTCGAGGTAATGAAAGCCAACCCTCCTTATTCTAAAGTCTTACACATTTTCTCCCAAGTTATCCAATGGAGACCACGGTGATATAAGACTCGGTAAGGGGACTTATAAATGCCGAAGGAATGAATGGATGAGATTCACAAGCGAGCTCTAACGCTCTCTCTTGTGGAATCAATGGATGGTGATGGTAAGACAAGACTTGCTTGAACAAGGCTTGAATCAAGATGAGATCGAACAAGTTGGCTATAACGCTCTCCCTTGTTGGATCGAAAGATGATTTTGACGGTTGAATCGAGGATCGCCATACAAAGTTGTGAAAGCCTTTGTGATAAGATCACGAACCTTTGTCTCAAGGAATTCACACAAGAGACATTGATTCACACTTGTATTCTAGAAGGGAATCCACATAAATAGAATAACAAGCAAAAAAAAAGCCGAACCTTTAAATGTGAGAAAACTTCACGGTGTTTAATTTCTATTTTTTTCAATTCAAGGGTGATTTTTACAATGGAACTAGCTGAGCTTTTATAGGCTCGTGCATAGCTATTCTAAGACAATAAATAAACAAATAAATCAACATAAATGAAAAATAAATTAGAATAAATTATAAATCAATCAAAGACTTGATAGATATGGCTTTTATTGCTCGATTTTGGCCAAATGAGGAAAACTTGAGGTTCCTTGTATCTAAAAAACTTGGGCATGAATTCATAAATCCTTGAGAGTCTCTTATCCATGTAGAATGTCTCTAATTTGTGGCTCTTCATAGTAAGAAGGAGTTGTTGGTGTTTGAACTCATTAAATGCGATCGTGTCCAAATAAGGAAACTCGACTCTTGGAGGGATTCCACTTGATCTTGTGCATGATGGTGCATATATGGGTGTGTATGAGAGCTTGTTGATGAAATAACGGATCCCCGGATTTGATGTCTACATCACACGGTCTCTCCCTGGAACTCACCAATAATTCGAAATGACACTTGTTAATTTTGAGATTAACTTTTGAGGAAGTTTAAAGTAAGACATAACATATGATGAAAACGCCAAAGCAACTGATTTAACCATTGTCTTTTTCCCGCCTTTTGACAAATATTTTGCTAACCAACCATTAATTCGTTCATTAAGTTTTTCCCAAACATAGTTAAAAAAATTTACTATTTGAGCCCCCTAAGCTGCTCTTTGAGCCCCTTAAGCTTTCTGTTATACCCAAATAGGAACTCTTCCCTCATTCATTTGTAATACCAAAGAAACTTTTCAGCTTCAAATGGATGCCATGTAGATAAATAATTGGAAAATTTTGAATTGACAAAACATTTTTTTCTCTGCGAAATAGTAGATGAATAGGTTGAACAATTTTCCTTTATAATTTTTTTATTTTTCCAAAATATTTTGGTTAAATGGGTTAAATTAGTTTTTCTTCATCTCAAATGGTAAAAAATAAGATGAATGTTCATTCAACTCTTTCAACCTCTTATTTTAAGTCAACTCTTTGCACCTGAAAATTGCTCTTTTTTGTTTGCTACATATTTTGGTAATTTAATTTCTAATATTTTATCGAAATATTTTTATTAATTGCTTTACGAATAAAAAAATTATTTATAATATAAAACATATAAGAGAAATGACACATTTTATTTCTAATACCTTTTATACCAATTTTTATCTTATAAGTTTTTTTTTTAATGAAAACAAATTTTTAAACAACATAAATAATACTAAAAATATAAATAAAAAATAGTTATGTTAAATAAATAAAAATAAAACATTTTAGTACTTATATTAGGAAAAAAAACATTTTAGTACTTTTACATTACTAACAACTTAAATGATTAATAAACCCAAAAATATATTAAAACAACCTATAAAAGCAACGCCCCGCTAATCTGGTCTGATTTAAAAGTGAATTCTGTTATTTACTTTCTCGTATTTGTCAAATAATAATAATAATCTATTAAAAATACCAAAAAAAAAAGGCTAAAAATTCACCGTTGAAAACGCGTCGCTTTCTCTTGCGTTTCCCTCTCTTCTCGTTCCCATGTCTCCCTCTCTTCCTCTGTTGCTTCCTTTGGTTCATCTTTCAAATTCAATTCCCATCATCAGAAAAAAATCAAAACTCCTTGAAATGAATTTCAAATTCAATTCGATTCACATTTCAAACAAATTTTGATTTTGATTTTCGCGGCGATTTGGATCGGAGAGATAATAATTTGGTTACAGTGAAGATATTTGATGGTGACGATGGATCTAATTAGAATTTCACGCATTGTTGCGGTTGTTTTCATGGTGTTGATCCAAGTTGTTTCCGGGAATTTCGTGTTTAATGTGACACATAAGTTCGCCGGAAAAGAGAAAGAATTGTCTGAGCTCAAATCTCACGACAGTTTTCGTCACGCTCGTATGCTTGCAAACGTCGATCTTCCTCTCGGTGGCGATAGTCGCGCCGACTCCATCGGGTTTTTCTTCTAAATCCATCTTCATTTGCTATTTCTAGATTGGATCGTGTTGCTTATTTTTGGTCGTTGACTAGGAGAATGCAATTACATTTTGTAGGGTTGAAAATTTCGAAAAAAATCTGTTTAGAAGAGTAAATGGCATTAGAAAACGTTTGAATGATAAGCGGGATTAAACCGGAAATGAATTTGCGGCGATATATGATCTCTTTCCGTAGTTTTAAAATCGCTGTAATTTAGCGATTAAAAGTCACTTGTCAAAATTTGTAGGATCAAAATTTTCAGAAAAAAACCGGATTAGAAAACTACGATTAAAATGGCGTTATAAAACGTTTTGTTAAGCGGAAATAAACCGGAAATGAATTTGCGGATGTGAGATATGATCTCTTTCCTTAGTTCTAAAATCGCTGTAATTTAGCTATTAAAAGTCACTTGTAGGATCAAAATTTTTGAAAAAAATCCGATTAGGAAACTGCGATTAAAAATGGCATTATAAAACGTTTGATATGCGGAATAAACCGGAAATGAATCCGCGGAGGCAAGATATGACTCTTTACTTAGTTTTTACGTCGCTGTAATTTAGCGATTAAAAGCCACTTGTCAAAATTTGGTTCCAACACATTTAATGTACTTATGAGATTACATTTGATTGATCTGTTTTCAGTTTATACTTCACCAAAATCAAGCTTGGATCACCACCAAAGGAATATTATGTTCAAGTTGATACAGGAAGTGACATACTTTGGGTTAATTGTGCACCGTGTCCCAAGTGTCCTGTGAAAACTGATCTCGGTGTATGCTTCTTTATAACCCGTGTTTATCGAGACTTTTGGTACATTTTGGAATTTCAGATGTATGTTTTTGGTTGCTATGCAGATACCATTATCATTGTATGACTCTAAAGCTTCTTCGACTTCGAAGAACGTTGGATGTCAAGATGCTTTCTGTTCGTTTATAATGCAATCGGAGACTTGTGGGGCGAAGAAGCCATGTAGTTATCATGTAGTGTATGGAGATGGAAGTACAAGTGATGGAGATTTTGTGAAGGATAACATTACTTTGGATCAAGTGACTGGAAATCTTCGAACTGCACCCCTTGCGCAAGAAGTTGTATTCGGGTATGTATAGCGGTACACTTTTGATGTTTCGTTAACTTAATGAATGCTGCTTCATCATAAGGATTCCTCTGTGAGACAGATGTGGAAAAAATCAGTCTGGGCAGCTTGGACAAACTGACTCAGCGGTTGATGGAATCATGGGCTTTGGACAATCAAATACCTCCGTCATTTCGCAACTAGCTGCCGGGGGGAGTGTGAAGAGAATATTTTCACATTGCTTGGATAATATGAATGGAGGTGGAATTTTTGCTATTGGGGAAGTGGAATCTCCAGTAGTGAAAACAACTCCTTTGGTTCCTAATCAGTAAGTGAAAATCATCTCTAGTCATTCATATTTTTTTGAATATTGTTTCTTTTAATAACTTTATCCAACAATTTTTAGGGTGCATTACAACGTCATTTTAAAAGGATTAGATGTTGATGGTGAACCTATTGACCTTCCACCAAGTCTAGCTAGTACTAACGGTGATGGAGGAACGATAATCGATAGTGGTACAACTTTAGCATACTTACCACAGAATCTCTACAACTCACTAATTGAAAAGGTGAAACTCTTTTTCATTACTTGTTTCTTGTTTATTCTCACAACCCTGACATAGTATTTTTCTGTACATATAGATTACTGCTAAACAACAGGTGAAACTACACATGGTACAGGAAACTTTTGCCTGTTTCAGTTTCACTTCAAAGTAAGATGACTTGCTTCCTTTTCGTAGCCTCTATGTCTCAATCATTCTCCATTTTTCGATACCAACGGATGTTCTGAAATACTAGTGCCAAGAAGCTTGAATACATGGATCTGGATCATTACATGCTGTGATTTTGTTGTTGTTTTTATGTGAGATTTGCTAAAATATTCTTTCTTGTACTTGCAGCACAGATAAAGCGTTTCCGGTAGTCAATCTTCATTTCGAGGACTCACTGAAACTCTCTGTTTATCCGCATGACTATCTTTTCTCACTTCGTGTAAGTCAGCAGCTTCCTACTTTGATGTGTTTGTTTCGGAAGAATATTCCTACTCTAATTGAATTTGATCGAACAACGTAGTTAAAGTTGGTGTTATTGTCAACCTTAATGATTTTATACATAGCTGATATATGATTTTCCCAAACAGGAAGATATGTATTGCTTTGGTTGGCAATCTGGTGGAATGACGACGCAGGACGGAGCCGATGTAATCCTTTTGGGAGGTAAATGTCATATCATATGTTATGTTTTTCTTTTTCAAGTTAGCCACAATACAATAATAGGTGTTACACTTGATGTGTCTGACTTGAGATTTGGTTTCTTCATCTATAGATTTGGTGCTATCAAACAAGTTAGTAGTATATGATCTGGAGAATGAGGTCATTGGATGGGCTGACCACAACTGTAAGTCTCTAAAACTCAAGAACTAGTTAGATGACGATGGATGATCAAAGAAGAAGTCAAACACACCAAATGTTTTGTTTCGTTAGGTTCGTCAAGCATCAAGGTGAAAGATGGATCGGGAGCGGCTTACTCACTCGGAGCACACAATCTCATATCGGCTTCTTCGGTGATAAACGGAACACTTGTAACGTTATTGTCGATGCTAATTTGGGTTTTCCATTCTTTTACTTCATAGTTTTGCTAACAAGGAGATGGTTTTGTTTGATTATTTGATTCATTTGATCCTTTTGTGGATGTGATTTGGCTTTTTGGGTCATGTAACTTTACATAGACAACTACTCATTCTTTGTTGTATACTCTCAAAGATAAATATATGTACTGTTTTGGTCTTAACTCTTAAGTCTGTATTTACATACAGACTAAAAACATCGATGTAACTATTTTTTGTGATGTTATGTTTGGCAACCAGAAAAGAAGTAATATGTAATGTGTTGTGTGACAGAAAGAAGAAGTAATGCAATTGAAAATTGACAAAAGTGAAGTAAATTGTCAAAAATGAAACTATTTTATCCATACTCTTTTAGTGTACTAACACTAACTATAAAATACTAAAGAGTTTACACAAACCATATTTGTTTCACACAAGTGACTCAAAAGGCCTGTGTTGTGTTCTTCCAACAAACAAAATTTACTCAAATAATTGCTATGAAGAACTCAATTGCAGCATCAGAAATTTATTAACAAAAGAAAAGAGAGAGATAGTAGCAAAGGTATTACAATGATTTGGAAGAGAAGATATATACAATCAGCCACACACAAGCGGGCGTGTAACAGTAATTTACCCGAGGTAAATGACCAAAACAGTAACTGTTGACAGAAACATTGAGCATAGGAGACAATGAGCTCCTGCATCTGTTATATCTTCCTACTCTTTGGTCGGGACATATACTGGGAGATTCACAAGTGTGTCGATTCTGTTGACTCCATTGAGCTCAGGCGATTCGGTTCCTGAGTCTGGAGATGATGATGATGCTGTGTCTGCTTCCGGTTCAGTAACACCATTGTTGATGTGTTTTTCCTTTGAGAAAGAAGCAGTTGACAATCTGTTCGGTTCGGAGTCAAGGAAGAGGCAAACTACGGCACAGTCATCGACTTTTGAAGTTGGGAACTTCCATCTCCAATTCCGCACTGCAGCCTCCACCAATGCTCGACCTGCTGAGGAACGTGTTGGGGCTTTGGCTACTATCTCTACTACCTCTTCATTCGTCAATACATCCCAAATCTAGCAAATTTTAAAGAGAGAAATGTAATAAGCTAGAAGATTATGGTTTAGTACGTCCATTAAACATTTATTTATATCCCAAGTCAAGGTTTTTTAAGAGAATGAGCTCACTAGTTCAAAATTGTTCTGAAATTGAACTTCAAATTTTACTGAGTTTTTCAGAAACACTAGGATTTTTCTTACCCCATCAGTTGCCAAGACAACAAATTCATCCTGCTCAGAGAGGCGTCGGTAGGACACATCAGGTACAGAAATGAGACCGAAGTCTTTGAGGCAAAAATCACCAAAAGCACGTGCCATGGCTAAACCAGGTGAGTTGTGGTTAGGAAGCCACAGACGGGCAACTCCTGGTTCATCTCGAAGAGCAAATATACGTCCTCTGCATCTCTTTATCCTTTCTGCTTCCGCTGGAAACAAGAAAAACCCAATCTTTAATTGATAAATCAGATGGTATAACCAAAAAAGGCTCTTAGAGGCTAGATTACCTGGAACATCTGGTTTGAGATCTTCAGTTAATTGAAAAGGAACAAGTTTATTGTCTTTGTTCCTCATACCCAATACTGCTCTTGAATCCCCAATATTACCGATAACAAGATGTTGACCCTACCGAAAACCCGAAAAAAACACAATCAAGACAAAAATACATATGATTTATTGCAACAAACTTAGAAACAACATCAGAACATTTTGGTCCAATTACCTGCTTGACCATAGTAACTGCAGTTGTTCCACTGCAAAAACAATCAACATCCACTTGCATCTTCAACTCCTTATCCATAAATCTGTAGGCTTTAATAATCGAGCCTATTAAGTTTTGAATCATATCCTGATCCTTTACGTAATCCTTATTGTAGACTCGTGATTCTCCATTGGCAGATATATGTACAAGGTCTTCTGAGATCTTTCTATCACCAGTGTTGAGGCTGATCTCTTTAAGAACCTCCTCAGGGGACACATATGACTCCAAGTGAGAACCTAACTTGAGTGGAAGCAAATCCCTCACTCTCTTTGCAACAATGTGACCATACGGACCATGACCATCAAAAACACCACAAAAAACGGTGTCCGCCATAGACCCAAAATTCTGTACATTTAAAAACATGTAACAACCAAGATTACTAAAGAGCTATACTTGAAAGGGCTAAAGCTAACATTAGTAACACTAGGTTCTCACATCCATAGCATCCATCTCTAAACTATAGCAGCCTATTTAAGAGCATACAACAAATGTGGTATAATTGCAAACTCACCTCCCAGACAATCATGGCGTCCTGATTAGGTCCTTTCTTGCCCTGTTGAGAGAAGAGAGAGACGGTGTCGGTAGAGCCATTCAAGAACATCCTTCCAGGGATCCTATGAAGAAGTGGCTCCTCGGTGTTATCGAAGGAAGAACTACAAGACCCGGGTCTCCTCTTGGGAGGCCTCTTCCTCCTACCAGGTCCAGGAACATGAGGAGAACCCTGAAGAGATCTCCTACTTCCTCCACCAGATGATGATAAGCAGGACCCCATATCAAGGGCCCTGATTAAACTTATCAAGCACTCCAAACCACCAACACAATCAAAACTATTGTCTTCAGGTGATGGACCTTTTGGAACCTTTTGCAATTCAGTTATCGCCAGGATTGAAAATTGTACACAACCACAGATTTGGACCTCTGAAATTGGGTGATAAAGGCCAAAACTTTCAACCAAATTCTTCACAAGGGTGATAAAGGAATCGACTTTATATCTCTAGAGAAGAATGAGAAAGACTATGAGGGAAATCAGAAGAATCAGACCAAGACAAGAGCTTTTAAGAATCCCAGTTCTTAAGCAGAGATTTTGAGAATTGTTTTATCCAGAATCTCATCCACAAAACAGATAAAAAGAGAATCTTTTTGCAATAAGAAGAAGAAAGAGAGAGTACCGAGTCGAATATTTGCTTGAAGGTGGAGATAGAATCGGATCCAAAAGGAAGGAATCAGAATCGGATTTCAAGGAACAACCACAGCTTTCACCGATAATGGCGCTCTGTTTTCTTCTTATTCTTTTTTCTATATATCTCTATGCTTTATTTTTTTAGTATTTTATTTTCTAATTTTATATTTACAGTTGGAATTTTTTTCGAGATACAGTGTATATATTTTTTTCATCCAAATCCAATTATATTGCATTTGTGAAGATCCATAAATAGGTGTTAGTCAAGCCATTCAGGCTGAATTACAAGATCAAAATAAAAAGTTGAGTTATCATTACAATCAAATTTGCTGAAACATGGGCAGCTCCGTTTCCGGTTCGTTTAGGGATATTTTTTTTTTTTCGTCGAAAATGAGAATTATATTAATGAATACAATTGTTCAGTTAACCACCTTGGTGGATTAAAACTTTTAGAGAAAAAACATCGTAGAGGAATACTATGTTTTGCTAACAAGTGAGCGGCATTATTACAAGAGCGTTTAGCAAATACAAACTGTAAAGAATGAAATTTAGCTGCCCATAACAGGATGTCTTGATAGATGTCATCGATTGCGATATCATAAGATTGTCCGTTTAGGGATACTTATTAGAGATTTAATCAACTAATATTTATTTAGATTTATTTTTAAATTTCACTATGGTATAAAAAATCACAGTCAAATTTTACAAAGATACGAGTTTAAACAATATAATTCGGATAACATAAGCATTATTGATGTTATCAGTTTTATAGTTTTTTGCTTAGTAATTGTCTTCGGCACGTAAAATTCGTTTATGAGATGCAATATCAATGATTTTAGATAAATTAATAAATTTTAATCAATACTCGTAAGATGTCTTACAGTTTCTCACAATTAAAATAATAAAAGAAAATAGAAAAAGAAGGAGTGAGAGAGAGAAGCGTTTCTCTGCTAAAAACTCCGAGATACCCTGACAAACTCATTTTGCTAGATGTATTAATTCTATTGGTCTAATTTAATTAGTTATTTCAAATTTATTTAAATGATAAAATCATAATAAAAATAATATATTTTATTCATCATATACCCTTTTTTAATCCTTAACCGATGAGAATGCTCTAATTAGCTTTTTAATATCGTTGTTAATATACATAAATTGTTTAAAACGTCAATTTCATGTGAGCTAGAAAGAAGCATCTAAGTTGATATGGGCATACAAAGTCACATTTAGATGTATACTTTGTTGAGTCAAGCCTTGAAAGAAATTTGTTTCATATTTGAAGGTTGGCATTACTAAAAGATAACCAACCTCGATTTAGTGATTTAGCTTCTATGGCATATGACAATCATTTTAGTAGCATCAAATTCTTCGCTTTGGAACTCATGTGTTGATTTCATATAGAAACCGTCTGTTTCCAAAACAATTGAGCGTGCAATGAAAGAACAATATTATTTATCCTAGTTGTTTATTTGATTTGTTAGTTGATTTTTTGGGTTACTGCTTATGAATAACATTCAATATTTTTTCATGCAAAACATTCAAATTGATTTATAAAGTAAACAAATCGCAAATTAACCTTAGCTGATTGTATAAGTTCAATTGTTCAAGGCTATCATAGTGTTGAACAAGTTTAAAATTGTTGGCTTCCTAGCACAAAACTTTTTTCCCCAAATTGGAAGCAAACCTACGAAACAAAAGAATAAAAATGAGTCAAAGAACATTATATAACTTAAAAGCATTAGAAGTTTTTGTTTCTACCTTGGCTAAAGATTATAATGAGACTCAATTTTAACCTTGGCATCCCTTCTAGTTTTGGTGCCAATAGGAATTCGGACATATTCATTATTTGGAAGAATTTTTACACTTTCAAATAATCTGGCCTCATCATCAGCTTCAACTTTTGATATATCTCCAGAGAATACATCTTCAATTAACATCTGAAAATAAGTATTTGATTTGTGAGTGAAGTGAGTTGATCGTGGTTATTTATAATCGGGATTTCTTAAGTTTTTTTTACAAGATTAGATATTATTGTATATCAGTGAAGTAAAAAAAATATTATTACCAAATTTTTGTAATCCTCAAATCAAAACAAAATACATATACTATTAATTCCATGGACATATCCCTCTATCCTTGTCATCTAAATTGTTCATACAACTTTTAAATATAAAAAATACAATTATAAAATCATATACTACTTATGTTCTTAAATGATTAATTTTAGGAGTTTTCAGAGAAATTAAGAAATAATTAATGCTAATTATTATAACTACAATATTTTCTTATACCAACAAAATATTTTAAAACTGTTTTGTCACAAAATTAACTACACATAACTAAATAGAATTTGATTAAAAATTGTTTGAAAAAAGTATTGAATTTCCAGTAATTAGAGGTTCTTTTTAGAGTTGGTTATAGCTTAATTTATCCGGTTCTGGTAAACCGGTACCACATTGAAATTTGCATGTATTTAAACCAAATTTAACTTAGGGATATAATTGTAAAACCAACACTACCCCCAAATTCTTCCGTTCGAAAATACAACACATGGCTCCACGACAGAAAACCCTAGCCTCGCCGTCGACCCCGTCCGTCGCCGTTGCCTCGCCGTCCAATCTCCGCCGTATATAAGATAACCCAACCCTAACACTCATCTTAGCACCGTATTCGAACTTGAGAACCAAATCATTCGAAACCTTGGCCGATTAAGCCGCGCAATAAGATTTCTAGGGTTTTGATCCCTTAATCATGCCGAGACATAATGATGAAGCAGAAGTATGTTTAAGATGTGGAGAATTTGGACATGACATGACTTTGTGCAAGTATGTGTACTCTCAGGAAGATTTGAAGGTAACTTTTTGTTTTCCTTAAATCCAATTACTTTCTGTTATTTTCTCATTGTTGCTTATGATCATGACCGTATTAGGATATCAAATGCTATGTCTGTAAAAGCTTAGGCCATTTATGTTGTATTGAACCTAGTCATTCACCGTCATGGACTGTATCTTGCTACAGATGTGGTCAACTGGGTTGTACGTTGTTGAGATTTTGATTTGGATGATTGAGTTGGAGTCTCTAAACAGAATTGATATAATTTTCTACTCTAGGCATGTGGTAGACACTAAGATGATTCGGTCGCTTTATCGTGCTTTATCTGTGGGGGAGAAGGGCATTTTGAGCATCAGTGTCCTAATTCTTCTAGCGTATGCTTTCCAGAAAACAGTAGTGAAGAAGGGTCTTTTGAGCATCAGGGCCCTAATTCTTCCAGCGTATGCTTTCAAGAAAGCAGTAGGGAAGAAGAGTATTTGTCAAGTGAATGTCCGAATTCATCGAGCATAAGCAGCACTTCGCAGGGCAGAAAGACTCGCCGGTTATGCTACGAATGTAAAGGAAAAGGACATATTGCTCGTGATTGCCCCAATTCCTCACAGGTAGGCTCTATCTCTCTCTCTATACATTTGGTGCTTTGAGTTCTTCACTTCTTTCCTGTCTTTCATGTTATTCACTTATCTAAGGAAACAATATTTCTTTGTTTTTTTCAGGATAAATATGGCATCTAACACTTATTGCAGTGCATCGACTAATCACTAAGTCAATAATTTTATTGACACTTTAAGTCTTTTTCCAATTTAGATAGTATCACTCTATAGACTACTGCCAATAATTGTTGGGATTCTTAATTGGTTTACAACTAAATAAGCTAAAATATTGTCTATAAACATATACGGATCCGTGCACTTTGGCTAGACAAGTTTGGGCTTTGTCCTTGGTTCCATGTCCCAAAAATGGATTTGATTCTTTATCTTTATACTCAAAACTTTCATTATGTCTTTCAAGTAGCTAAGAACCCTTCCATTCCTATTGAGATTAGTAGAATTTTTCCCTGGTTGTTATGGTTCGTTTGGAAATCTCGGAATGGATTTGTATTTGAAGGAAAAGTGGAGCTAGCTTCTGAAATTATAAACAATGTTAGGGAAGAAGTTCAGCAATGGTTTCAGATATGGATAGATCTGTTGATAAGTCTAAGTTTGATGTGTTGGCTCTTGAGCAGAAAAATTGGAAACTTCCCCCTTATCCCTGGTTTAAGTGCAATATAGGAGTGTCTTAGTCCAAAAGAAACCAAATGGGAGGTGCTTCTTGGGTTTTAAGGGATGCAGTAGGAACTGTGTTGTTGCATAGTAGAAGATGCTTTTTGCATCAATGGATGATGCTAAACTGAAATATCTTTTTGTGGGCTTTTGAGAGTATAGATTCCCTCATAAAGTCAATATACATCTTTGCTCTGGAAGCAGGAGAACTGACTGGAGCTTGGAAGAAACCTCATTCTTGGCCTTCGTTTAGTTGTCAAGCAATGGAAATTTTATCTTCTCTGAGAAGTGTTAAAGATTGGCAGTTAGAAGTGGAGGAGAAAGCTTCAAATAGAGGGGCATTTTGCATAGCGCAAAGTGTAACCAAGGACTGTAGAACCCAGTCATAGGTTGCTTATAGACATCCTTCTTGGTTACATGATCTCTTTGCTAAGGAGAGTGTCTTTCCCTCTGTTTTTATTTCATTTTGTCTCGTGCTTTGGCCTGTTTACACTTTCATAGTGACATGTGACTTGATAAGCTTATATTATACCAGATGACAAAAATTCAAGTTCAAACGTGATGGCTATATCAAGACAATATCTTTAAGAAAAAATTATAAATGTCGAGCAGAAGTAAAAACTGAATTAACCATACATAAAGCAGATTTTGCATTTGCCTAAAATCCGTTTGCAAAAGAATCCAAACCCGATATGGCGAAACAGAGTCATCAAAACCAAAAACACAACAATCTCAAAGCAGACTTATTGCCAAAATACAAAGCAAAGTAAACATGATAAGCAAATGTGAAAGATAGATGAAACTCTGAATTATTATTGTCTTCATTGCTTCTTTTTATTAGGAAAATAGATTACTCACTCTTCTTCCTCCGCCTCTTCAAGCCAATTCACAAATGGCTCTAAGCTTTTCACAAAGGTTTGCCTGCAACATTACACCACAAGAAAACATCAAGAGAGTGCTTCATAATTTTTAGTTACGATCAAAAAAGCTTTCCAAGTGAAGTTATATTATGTCATGGAACTAAGTGCATACCTGCCCTTTGAGTTGGTTCCTTTACGGAACCAGTGGAGAATGGTGTCTTCAGCGAGTACATCGAGTTCATAGAGCGACCTCACTACTTCTGGGAAAACTTTCATAAGCTTTGCATCCTCATAGCATTGCATTTGGACTTTGTACATCAGTTCCAGCTCTAGCTTTCCGCTGGTACAGAACGTGTTCAGAAGCGGAGCCCATGTTTTCACCTACACAGGTCAAACATCAAGAGATAAAATGACCATAAGAGGGATCACATACTATTTCAAGGCTAATAAGATATACACAAAAAGCGATTTGCATTAATGATTTCATTATTCATGACTCCCACTTCTTTTTTTCATGACTACCAACTAAAATTAGCACAAAAGTCATTGGCAGTTTGTGGAGTAACACACCATATGGAACTCTTATATGAATGACAGGCATAAATTGAATGGTTGGCTCATCATATCTATAAAATCTTACCTGGCGCAGAACAGAATTTGCATTTTGCTGCTGGTTTTTTCCAGACCACTGAACAGCATCCATTAAACCATCCCAAACGACACGCACAACTTCAATGTCAGGCAGCTTAGCTTCTTTGATCTGTTGCTTCACCGATTCAATGACTTCGTCGACATTACTTTCCTCTGTGACCTTGCTTGTAAGAACGGTTTTGATTTCCCTCAGTTTCACCTCAAACATTTTCTTTGAATGGTACTCTACTAGATCGGTCAATCCCTCATTCCTAAAAATCCAAAAAGTTAACACGTTATTGTCAATTGATTTTACGAATACGCCATACAGATAAAAAGAATGCAAACATGGAATGCAAGGCAGACGAAAGAGGAATATAGCCTTAGCAGCAGAATCTGTACTATATGATTGATTAATGAATTATGATACATAGTTGACAAACAAAATCATTATAGAAGTCAAATAATAATGAATGAGATACTTTATAATAGCTGACGTACAAAATCATTCACACATTCTCACAGTTAGGTTAACTAAACAGAATGATGTACAATTTTACATGCATTTCTACTAAACTAATGTAGACAAGGGCATGACACCGATTTAAACTATACATGCAGCTTTTTCCACTATGCAATAAAACTTCAACAAATCAAATTTAAGAAATGCATGCAATTAAATAAGCTAAAGTAAGTATCAAACTAAATGCAACAAACTTCGAAGAGACAATTAACAAAAAAAAAACTTCAAAGAGAGAAACTCACGTGAAATGTTCCGCAAAACTTTCAGCAGATCGCCTAACAGGTGGTAGGAAATCCATAAGGTTGTCTTCCATTTTCCCACGCCTCAGAATAGAGATCAAGTCTTCAAGACTGTTCTCAACCAAATACTCCTTGAAGAAGTCTGTTACGAATGAGAGCACTATCCCTTTGGCAACAAGATTATCCTTGAGCAATGGCTGGAAGACAGTTTCCGGAGGTAATCCTGAGAGCTTCTGGGAAAAGGCAAGTGCTGTGAAGATAGCAAGCTTCTTCCTTTCATTTTCCTCAAAGAGCTCCAGTGACTGCAGGAATCTCCGAGTAACATTTTCAAGGTTCTTTATGAGGAAAGGCTTCCTCCGCAGAATTTTCTGTATGTAGACAACAGACGGCAAAATGGCTTCACGCTTGGGTTCACAGTCAATTACAGAGTACGTATGGCGTTCCCCTTCATCAGATTTCACTGTTCCAGCTTGTGTGCGTCCTCCTATGAAAACAACCTTAAACACAAGGTCTCTCAATCAAAATTCATAAAAATAAAAATAGATAAGGCAAAAAACAAACAAAATCAGCAGCAGGCATAATAAATTATAAAACAAACATCCCTTGAATAGAAGAAAACAGAACGACAATAACAAGAAAAAAAAAATTCCAGGACGAGTTTTACAAGCACCATTTTCACTGCAGAAAATATAGACATAAACAGATTTTACAGATTTAACACATATCATTCTTTACAAGTGGACAACAAAAAACACAGAACAAGACAGTGCCCAATTCTAGAAGCGTAAACCCCTCTTGTCAAAGAAAAAAGAAGTTGTAGCCCACGCGTACATGATGTGATTAAATACACAAAGAAGTGATTCTAAGGATTTGCAAGAAAACACAGGTGTACGTTCTACTTAACTGAGAATAGGGGAATCAGAGTACACTATCAATGCCAAGATGAAAGAAATAAGCAAGAAAAAGGTTCACAAAGTTTTGTTGTAAACTTACCTCAAAGAAGATGTCACCATATCTTGTGAAATTAAGATCTGATGACTCAATACTTTTGGCAACAAGTTCCTAAACCAAACAAACAAGAGTAATATAAGTTAAGTGCAAAAACATCTCCAGATCAAAGCAGAACATAGACACCAATCATACCAGATCACCAGCATTATCCAGGTAAATCTGGACCACTGCATCAGAAAAGGCTGCAGGGTCCAGAGGAGCAGCAATATTCCGTTTGCGGGTCTTAATCCGCGTACCTCTGCAAATAAAAACAACTTCTAAGCATACATGTTATCCAAAGAAAGAAAATGCTAACAAACTCAGCAGTGAAAGATAAAAACTCAGCACTTACCCGAGAGTGGGTTTCTCCTTCGAGCTGCAGAACAAACGAAGGAAAAAAAAGATTAGCAAATTGATACAGAAAGTGACCAAGTGCAATTGCAAGAACATAACATTTCGTTATTCCCAATCATAAGAAACCCTAGAAATCGAAAAACACACATTTCACAAAATAACATTGAAAGGTGGAAAAAAAAAACTCAATTGATTCAGAAACGAACATACTCTAATTCAATTCTCAATTCCAAGAAGAACCCAAAATCGTTACATCGACGAATCCGATTCTTTTACAAATCACTAACCATCTTAAATCGAATTCAAATCAATCGCAATGACCCAAGAAGGAATCTCATAACCCAAGAAGAAACAAGAACAAAATCTATCTACGACTAACAAAATCAAGATTTCGTTAGAGAGAAGAGATTATTAACCATTACCCAAAACCAAAGAAGAAGAGATTTGCGAGAGAGAGAGAGAGAGTGGAGAGTCTTCTTACCTCATAAACCAAGATCAAAGAAGAGATGAGCCTCTGACTCTGTGGATCTGAGAGCTTTGTCGAAGCCAAAAAAGGTATCTGAGAGTGTGAAGAAGAAAGAAAGAGAGATAAAATGAGAAAAGGTGAAGTAAGGAGGAGGCGATGCTGTCAAAAAGAGAGTTTCGTCTCGACGCTATAAGTAGACAGAGAGAGTAGAGATAACACCGTACATGTCTAAATGACGATTTTACCCTTCATTCACCCACCTAAAAATATCTTTTTTTTTACTCAGGAACATTGGATGGACTTAACCGAACCAAATTCGAATGGAATTTGAACATGAACACAAAACCAATTCAAATCAAATCGGTTATACAATATTTGAATATACTTTTCAGAACTACAGTAAAATCTCAAATAAAGAAAATTCGAACCGAACAACACTGAATAAATGAATGTGGTTTGGACCAAATGGTTTGGAACCGGTTTGGTAAAATTAAACCCGGTATATGTAATTTTACCAAGAAATTAATTTGCCAACTGGTCTAACCTATTTCCGTCTCTCCCCCATGGCAACATAGGCATTTGCCATGGGTCCATAGCCATTTTCAAAAAATTTATTGAAGAAAAAAGGCTCAATTTTAAGAATTTTTTTTTAGTAAGAAAATTAATTTTTTTATAGTTTTGCCAAGAACCCTCCCATAAATTGAGATGACACTAAACCTAAACATGGTATACGTCTTTCATTTTAGTATTGTACAGTTGTTATGGTTCAATTTCGTATTCTATACTCTATATTCTCTTTTAATTCCATTTTAGAGAGGTTGATGTGTTGACTCGATACAACCAGAACCAGTATACATTGTTTGGACTTAAGAGCACTCAACAGTTGGCAATACCCAATCTAAAATGTGTTTTACATGTAAGTGTTTACAAGTCTTTAATTTTTTAAAAAAGTATTTTTATGTGGTTCTGAAGTGCTACATTCGATTTTTTGGAATTGTGGTTGTCTAGTTTTTTTTTTCTTTTTTCTTTTTATTAACAAGAAACTAATAAGTGGGGATTAAATGATTTACAAAATAAATGTGTAGTTTTGTTTATAATTATGTGGAATGTAGATGTTACCTAATTAGGGCTAAATTTGCATCTTTGTATTACGGAGCGACATATGAACAACAATGCCACAGTTGCACAAAGTGTTTAGGACGGGGCGTCTCAAATTTCTCGAATGAATATCCATTAGCCGGTGATTGGAGGCATTTTAAAAATAATGTTCGACATAATAGAGCGGATGGAAGAGACACGACGGAGAGAATGTTAGCTAGAGAAAAAGATAAGGGAGACCACCAAGCATAAGATGAATATATGAAAATACAAAACATACTGATCTTTTTTATCTCGAGATCTCTAACATTCTAAATTATGCATCTCAGAGTTCCAACCCCACTCAGACCGATAATTTTCTCTTCAAACCTATCAACCCAATATTAAACTATATATTAGACTACTTTAGGCTAAGACCCTAAACTAAACCCCATCTTCCTCCCAGAAACCAGCTCTTCATTCATTCGCATTAAACCCTTTTGATTAAAGCGTTATAAATTTGTCGAAAGGACATCTTTTTTTTTTTTTCTTCCGAAAACTATATATTATTAACCACGCTAATGTTGTAGGATTAAGAGACCCATAAATCAGTCTAAGAAAGAAGATCCACGAAAAGCACTCATCTAGAGCGTGGCACATGTTCAATTCTTAGCACTCATCTTAAATTTATCGGCTATTCCAACCTAACGATATTTTTTTAACTTTTTGGAAGAGAAAATCTTACCCGACCAGTAGACATACCATCATTGTTCTCTACATTATTAATCTCTTAAAGCAATAAGTTATGTTATTAAGTAGGGAAAATATTTACCATCTACACGAAAGACACATCATCACATAGTTACACATGGAGACTTTAAAAATGTCTCGTTAGCTACACGAAGTATTACCATCACATACAGACATTCCCGAACTAACATAAGTCATGTTGCAAACACCATAACCATCCAATTCCAGTGTTTCGGTTGCCGGAATCCGGCATTGACCGGCGTTGATCAAAAATATTTAAAAAATAGTTTGTTATATTATTTTGTTGTATAATTGTTTTGTGGTATATTTTGTTATATTATTTTGTGGTATATTTAATTTTGGTATATTTTATTATATTTTTAAGTAAAATTATGTAATAATTAATTTCTTAAATTTTTTTTATCAAAAATATATATAAAGAAAAAAGTATTCTTTTGAAAATATTTAAAAAGTATTCTTATGTTAGTTTGTGGATGTCCGTACGTGATGGCAATAATTCTTGTAGCTACTAAGACACTTTTAAAGTCTGCATGTGTGACTATGTGATGGCGTCTTTTTCGTGTAGCTGACAAACATTTTTCCTATTAAATAATACAATATTTATATATGACTAAGTAATATTTTAAAACTATAATATGATATCTCTATTGTACTATTCTAAAGTGCATACATCTTATTTGGTCTCATCCCATCACAATCCTAATTTTCTTATTCATAAATCCTAATTCCCAACGTGCTGAAATTCGAATTATATAACCACCTTTTGATTTTTCACCACTTCATATAACAACAACTTTACTAAAGAGAAGAAGGAAAAAAAAGAATCAAACAACTAATGGAAGAAAACTACATTGGAGTTGTTCTCTACTCATTTTTCTCTCTCATCTTCTTGATAATCCAAGAAACAGAATCTTCCGCCGTCTCCCCCTGGATGGTTGCCGGTAATAGGCCACCTCGGCCTCCTGAAGCCACCCATCCACCGCACCCTTCGCTCCTTCTCCGAGTCCCTCGACCGTAACGGTGGTGGCGGCGTGATGTCCCTCCGACTTGGGTCTCGTCTAGTCTACGTGGTGTCGTCACATAGGGTTGCAGCGGAGGAGTGCTTTGGCAAGAACGATGTCGTTCTAGCCAACCGGCCTCAAGTGATCATCGGAAAACATGTTGGTTACAACAACACAAATATGATCGCCGCACCTTATGGTGATCACTGGCGTAACCTCCGTCGCATCTGCACCATCGAGATCTTTTCCACTCACCGGCTTAACTGCTTTCTTTATGTCCGTACCGACGAAGTACGTCGCCTTATTAGCCGCCTCTTTCGTGTCGCAGGTACATGTGCTTTTATTATTCGTTGACTTTTCATTTATGTTGGTCTTATCTTAGTGTTATAGTGACCACAATAATTGAAATATAATTATGTATGCAATATATAACGATGATATGAAAAAAGGATGAGATAGCTTTTGGTGGCCGTAATTGAATAGAATGAGTTGCTTGCAAGGTCAAAATTATAATATATTACGAGAATAAAGATTTATGAAAACATTTTACATAGAAATGAGAAAAGTTTTGTCCACTCCAAGTATATGCTTCATGTGTTATTTATCGTTATGAAGTTTGTTGATATATATAGTCAACTTTTTATTTCTTTTGGTGTTATTTAAGTTTTAATTATATCGAGTATTGACCAGTGAGTCTTTGTGTGCGTCAATCGTACCATCAAGATTTTTCAAAACATTTATATTTTTATATTTTTCATTTTTTGGTTCTATTTCTACATATTGTGAGTATAAAGATTTCTTAAAACATTGTAAGTACATATATAGTAATGAAGAAAAGTTGGGTTGGCTGCATATTTACCCCTGAACTATATACTTCCAATCTATTTTTTTTCTTTTGTTCTCTTTCAACTGAGACTCAGACTCTTTTTCTTTAAAATTACAGGAACTGAAAAAACGGTTGTGGAAATGAAACCAATGCTTATGGACTTGACATTCAACAACATAATGAGAATGATGACCGGAAAACGATACTACGGTGAAGAAACAACCGATGAGGAAGAAGCAAAACGTGTCCGTAAGTTGGTGGCTGATGTTGGAGCCAACACAAGTTCAGGCAACGCCGTTGACTATGTTCCGATTTTAAGACTGTTTTCAAGTTATGAGAAAAGGGTAAAAAAGTTAGGAGAGAAGACTGATAAATTTTTACAAGGTCTTATTGACGATAAACGTAGACAACAAGAAACCGGTACTACAATGATCGATCATTTGCTTGTTCTCCAAAAATCTGATACTGAGTATTACACTGATGAAATCATCAAAGGCATCATACTGGTTTATATCTCCTCCCTTCATTTTTTTTCCTATTAATTACGATATATTTTTAAATTGATTATGAGTAAGATAATTTGTTTGATGTTATTATTAAATTAACCTTTGTGATGTTATAAACGCAGATAATGGTAATAGCAGGGACTAACACATCAGCGGTCACTCTAGAATGGGCACTTTCCAATTTGCTTAACCATCCTGACGTAATAAGAAAAGCTAGAACCGAAATCGATAACCAGGTTGGTTTAGACCGGCTTATCGAAGAATCAGATCTTAGCGAGCTACCATATCTTAGGAACATTGTCCTTGAGACCCTCCGGTTACACCCGGCTACACCATTGCTAGTCCCACACATGGCATCAGAGGATTGCAAGATAGGGTCCTACGATATGCCACGTGGTACAACGTTGTTGGTGAATGCATGGGCTATACACAGGGATCCAAACACGTGGGATGATCCGGATAGCTTTAAACCAGAGCGGTTTGAAAAAGAAGAAGAAGCACAAAAGCTTTTGGCCTTTGGGTTAGGTAGAAGAGCGTGTCCTGGATCGGGTCTGGCCCAACGGATCGTGGGGCTTGCTCTCGGGTCATTGATACAATGTTTTGAATGGGAGAGAGTTGGAAATGAGGAAGTTGATATGAAGGAAGGAGTTGGGAATACTGTACCCAAAGCGATTCCGTTGCAAGCCGTTTGCGAAGCTCGTCCATTTCTACATAAGATTCTCTCCTAAGTTTCTTGAACGTACGGATAAAAGATGTGTGACGTATCAATGATTCTCTCTACATGTATTATTCCAATTACATATCTAGAGATTATATAGTTTGTTAGAAGCTTTAATCAAACCAAAGATGTATGGATTTCCATTTTTCTTCTAGGGAAATAGGTGGGAAAAGGGCAAAATCATGAATTCGTCCTAAATTTAAACTTGATAATAAACTTATAATTTAATACAAAATCATGAATTCGTTCTGTTTTTTTTTTTCTTCTCTTTTCGACGAATATAATAGAGATTACATTCTAAACAAGTTAAGTTCTCTTGGTTAGTCAAAAGAGTAATATTTCATAAATTTCATACTAATTTATTGAAATAATGACATTTATCAAATTATTAATTAAAAATCTATAACACTAATGTAAAACTATGTGCTCAAAATCTAATAAATATAGAAATTAATATATTGTGGTATTTTAATAATATATCTTAAATCATAGGGAAAATATACCTAAAGAATAAAAAAAAGTCCCTAACCACCAATTTATTTGCACTCACAAATGCATATTTTTTTATAACTAAGTCGCCTTGGTCTAGTGGTAAAGGAGAGAAAAGTCTTCCCTACCAAAGTTCGAGTAGCATATTCTTACCTATTGTAAAAAATGTCTTTGAAGAAGAGATATCTTTTCACAACAACTGTAGTTAGAGTCCGCTAAGACTCCAAAAAGATTTGATATTTGGAAGACTCTATATTTCTTAAGTATATTTTTCCCTCAAATTTTAGACTTATTATACAACTCTTGATGGGTTACTTTTTTTTTTTTCTGTATAAGATCTTGATGGATTATTATGGCTATCTTAATACAATACTGATTCTATCTATGCAAATTTCTTGTTGAAGGTCAATATAGGTGGCAATATCAAGAAGAGATAACATATAAATCTATAAATATGTGGAGTGACTTAAGCGGTGGATTCTTGCACCTTAAGCGGTGTTGGCTGGATTGTGAAATCGAATAGAGCCATAATTCATCTTGGATTAAAGAGTTTTCGTAGATGTTTATCTCCTCTCCACGCAGAGTTTGAGTCTCTCCTCTGGGCAATGAGGTCCCTTATCTCACTCTCTTTTTTTGAAGTTGCTTTTGAGACAGATTGCATGGAGTTAACACAAGTTTTAGATACTCCCGATGAGTGGCCTGCTTTTTCGTCAGAGTTAGAAGACTTTAGCTCTTTGAAGTCATCATTTCCCTCTTTTAATTTAGCTTTTATCCCACGTACTAATAATACCTGTGCTGACTGCCTTGCAAAAAAGGCACGATCACGTGGTAGTTTTTTTTCTCATGTAAGCTCTGTAACTCCGGACTGGTTTTCTTCTGAATAGAACGGTCTGATTTTAGCTTGAATGGATGAACTATATTTGCTGTAAAAAAAAATATATATATATGTGGAGTGACTTGAATGTTGATTATTAGCAACATTTTTACTATATTGGTTTATTTGATATTGTTTAAATCTTTTTATACACACATTGACCCAGTTCTGAAGCATCTATACTATTAATTGGGAATCATTGGATATTAAATAACCCTATAAAAAGTAAAATATTACAATAGAATGCCATTAGCAAAATTACAATCAAAGAGTTAATGAAAATATTCGTTCAAGGGCAAAAAGATAATTTAAATCTTAAATAACTTGCGGATCTTGGGTTTCTGAAGCGGATAAACACGCGGATCTTGGGGCAGGTGAACATGCGGATCCTGGGCTCGATCCGGCCTGTTCGAATATAGCAATGTTGTTATTGCATCGCGGATCCTACCAATGAGATATTTCCTGTAATCTAAACAAAATTAATGCCAAACCAAATATGACAGTTATCATTTAAAGATATTCCTATAACAAACGTATCCCATTAATTTCGAGTAGTAAATAAAGATAAATAATTGTTTTGTCATATTAAAGCTTTCGAATAGTAAAGCTACAAAAATTAGTTAGAAAATTTCCAAATTTAAGGGTTGTTTTCAATAAATTTGCCTAATATAACAATGACTCTATATTCTAATCCTTTCAAATCGAGTATATACCTTAAACTCTATCCAAAATTTTGATTCGCAAATATATTATTTTGATATCAAAAGGTTTAACCCTAAAATTAGCTAGCCAACATTCTTTTCCTATAAATAAATATTCAAGTCTACTACCATTTTCACTACTCACTAATATTTAAAACTATTCGTATCTTTTGCTCTTTCGTTTTCATTTTTAACAATGGCTGGAAATCTTGATATCACCAATGGCTGTAAGTATAGATTCACCTATCTTCTACTGTTTGAATCTTCTAATTACATTTAGATAAATATTTAATAAGGATTTTTTAAACTTTTTTATAGGGTACTTTGATTCATGCTACTATTAAGAAACAACAAGTGAACAAGTTTCAAAGGTTTATCAAATCTGGAGAGTGTAGAATTGTCAAAAATTTTACCCTCTCAAAATCAATGGGAAAACTTTGATTTTAACATTGTATGGCAAAACTAAGTTTTCAATATGAAGTTCACTATTAGGCTCAATAACAGTAGGTAAAGATGCAAATCTAATAAACATAAGTGTATAAGTTATTATCTCACTAACCTTTTACATATAGATCTCTGAATAGCTCCCATGACAAAATGTGTAGCTTCCTCCGTATTCTTATGTTACTCGCAAAAGATGCTTGACCTGAATACATATAATTTTGTGTATTAGATCTTTTTTATTTTGAGTAATGGGTATTGTTTTCTAATAATTGTATCATTTTTTTGGTAGGAGTTTATCATCTATTTTGTGAACATCTGTATATTTGTGGTAAATTGAAATCTATATAGAAACAAAATTAATTAGAACTCTTTCCAGTTAACACAATATACTTTTACTAATTTATGGGTTTAAGAAAAAATAGCTCGGTACAGTGGAACTAAATATAGATCTTACTTCTGTATCTAACAAGTTGAAAATGAAATCAAATTCCTATTCGTTGATAAAATAAGTGTAAACAAAACTTAGATATTCAATTTACAATAATTACCCATAAAAGATCCGGCTTCTTGACAATCCTTGGCAAATACTTCTGTTCAAACATAAAAATTCACAGGTTGAATTGACATAAAAAAAATCAGTAAAAGTTTAATTCTGATTCAATAATAAGCTTACCTCTTTAAAGAATTCCCAATTTGCAAAACACAGATTATCCTCATCCAATGGCTACGTGCATCGACACCAGCCGAACTGGTGAACCCCATATTTTTCCTCGCTTTTTTTCAAACCATGATGACAAATCTGGGTTTCGTTAGATCGTGATCCTGATCGTGCTTCCTTCAATGGAACCCAGACGAAAACCCTCCATACATGTCCTTTGGTTGAAGATCGGTGATGTTTGGGAGACGAAATTGGTGAGTTAGATGAGAATTTCACAAATTTCACTTAGATCTAGCCATGTTCTGATTTTTGTTCGGTGTGTTTTGTTTTCTTTTCAAGATAAGAGGACAACGATTGTTCTAAATAAAAATCTGTCCACATAAATAAATTAATATGGAATATTAAAAGGAATAGTTATAATTGGATCATTACTAACATCAAATTTGGCCCACCAAAAAAATTATTCGCCTTGACTAATGGGCTAATGACTTACGTTTTTGGTAAACCATGTTTTGAATTACCAAATTGTAATTTACAAAACAATTATGTTGCATTAACAAATATTTAATTTACGTACTCTTTCAAATTTTAACATTTGTATTATAACTTCTATACACATAACTTCTCCAACAGTTCAAATTATTTGTTATGCACCAAACTGTATATTTTTAAAAACACATATAAATTGTTTTTTGTTATGCTAAATTATTTAAAAACACAACTTTCAATTCTAAATTAATAACAGACTAAACAGACTAATACAAACTTATGCACTAAAATTTTTTATACACAAAACATAAATTTTCAGTTATTATGATAAGTTTTTGATATAAATACTATTATATTATTCACTTACACAATAAAAAAAAATGATTAATACAAACTTTATATAAAAACATATAGTAAAACATATCACCCGCACAACTGTGCGGGTCAGGATCTAGTATAGTCTTATATATACACATTCAAATTTTTATGAACATATTTTCCAAGGACGCCAATGACCAACCAAACCTATAGCAGAAACAAGCAAAAGAAGAAAATAGTGGATGAGTAAATAAATGGCAGTGTTGTTGACCTCACTCTCACTCACTCGCTTCCCTTCTTCTTTCTTCTCCTCTTCCGCTCACAATCTCTTCCTTTCTCGTTCCTCCTCTTCTTCGATCAGACGATTCAATCTCTTTTCGCTTAAACCACTTCGCTCCTTCGCATCCATGTCATCTTCTTCCCCCGACGAAGCTCAGACTCCTCTAACCACCGCTCCTTATGGCTCATGGAAATCTCCGATCACCGCCGACATCGTTTCCGGAGCTTCAAAGCGTCTCGGAGGCACCACCGTCGATTCTCGTGGCCGTCTCGTCTTACTCGAGTCTCGCCCTAACGAATCCGGGTATTACTTCTTCTTCTTTTGATTGATTTCGAAAATGAAAACCCTAATTTGATTGCGAGCTTGATTTTGTTTCGTTTATCGTATGATTGAAGGAGAGGAGTTTTGGTGCTACAAGGAGAAACACCAATTGATATTACTCCAAAAGACTTCGCTGTGAGAACTCTAACACAAGAATATGGTGGTGGTGCTTTCCAGATTTCATCAGATGATACACTTGTTTTCTCTAATTACAAAGATCAGCGATTATACAAGCAAGACATTACTGATAATGGTGATAGATAACCTCTTCATTGATTCTATCTATGTAAATTTATTGTTGGCAAGTTCTGATGCTGCTTACTTGATGTGCAGGTTCATCTCCAAAGCCAATTACTCCAGATTATGGTGCACCAGCTGTTACTTATGCAGATGGAGTGTTTGATTCACGTTTTAACCGTTACGTTACTGTTAGGGAAGGTTGGTTTGTCTCTAGTATTTAGTATTGGTGACTCTCTTGATGTTCTATCAAGATTTACATGTTGATTGTTTGACTGGTGTTTATAGATGGTCGCCAGGATAGATCAAACCCAGTTACGGCAATCGTGGAGGTTAATCTAAGTGGAGAGACACTTGAAGGTAGATTATATACATCAAACTTTAATGAATCAAGTATTTTTGCTTGTATTGAAACTTTTTATTGGTTAATACAACTAATCATTAATACTCACATGTGTTCTTTTTAATGTTTGTGATCCAGAACCAAAAGTACTAGTGAGTGGCAATGATTTCTATGCATTTCCACGTTTGGATCCCAAGTGTGAGCGATTGGCATGGATTGAATGGAGTCACCCTAATATGCCTTGGGATAAAGCAGAGCTGTGGGTTGGGTACATTTCAGAGGGCGGGTGAGCATTTGCTATTTTTTTCAAATGCACTGCATTTTGCGTAATTAGTTCAGAATTCTTAATACTGAGAGTCTTATTGGGGGTCTTGAATTGCTGGTTTCCATGGTTTATAGTTTTCTTTATCTCCTCCCACTTTAATTGTATTAAACAGAGTTATACCTTTCTGCAGAAAGATTGATAAACGTGTATGTGTTGCTGGTTGTGATCCCAAATACGTCGAATCACCCACTGAGCCGAAGTGGTCATCAAGAGGTAATTTGTCTTTGATGAAAAATATGTAGAAAACTACTCCAGTCAGTTACAAGGATTGTGAAATCCTCTGGGAAAAGATTGATTTGCAGTTTTTAGACACTGACTTTGGATTTCTATCTTTCTATTTGTTTCATACTTTTAGCAGTTGAGCTTTTCTCACCAGTTTTTGCCGTTTTAGATGAAACTAGGGTCTTCTACATAAAATGATCTTCTTTTTTCTCTCTGCTCTCTTGTTGTTTCCACTCTTTGCAATCATCTTTCTTCTTCTAACCAAGTGACAAGGACCGTGAATTTTACTGAGAAAAAGATTGATCTACAAATTCCTTGCATGTGCGTCGGGCTTCTTATCTTTATTGATTTTAGCTATTAAGAACTCCTTGGAAGTACTAGCTGAAACTAGAGTCTTTTAATGTATGTCATCATGATTGTTCTCTAAACCATTAGACGTTTTATTGGAGCTCTAAAATTGGTGAATAAGTTATATTTCCTCATATTGTTATTAAGCCTATCAAGCTTCGGTATTTCTCATAGCTCCCATTGACCTGAGATTCTCTGATTTATTATGCAGGGGAACTCTTTTTTGTAACTGACAGAGAGAACGGATTTTGGAATATTCATAAATGGGTAAACATTCTTCAGATTTGCCAATTATAGTTACATTTAGGAAATTTCATAGTGGGCTTTTGCTGTGTAATGCTGAGAATTAGTTTTAGATTTGAAATAGGGGTATTTTAGTCACTAATAAGAGTGTAGAGGAAACGTTTTCTCTTGGTTTTTACGAATTTCACTAGCACGGACTCTAAAATTCGAATTTTTGTTCTCGGAGGAGAGTGTACTCTCATACTTACAGAAATTAAAAAAAAAAAAACCTTTGGGGAAGATGAAAGAAAGGCGTCATATAGTGTTACATTAGACAAATACTGTTTGAGCGAGTTTGGTTTTCGGCTTACCATATACATCCCAAACTGGTAGATGTTTGTTTTGTTAGCTGTATTAATTGCTAAGTTCTTAGATTTTTTGGGTAGAGACTGATATTGGCCACCGAAGCTTTTCTCAAAGTAGATCTACTTGGCGCACAAAGAAATTGCTAATGTAGTAGACATGTTTATTGTTTACTACCTTGTTCCTTATTTTTTTTTTCCCTCTTTCTCGTTGTGTCACAGATCGAGAGTACCAATGAGGTTGTTTCTGTATATCCTCTCGCTGGTGAGTTTGCGAAACCACTATGGGTTTTCGGTACAAACTCCTACGAAATAATCGAGTGTTCTGAAGAGAAGAATATAATTGCATGCAGCTATAGGTAATACCAAGCAATACTCAAAAACTTTCAGCCATTCTCTGATATACCTGTTTTGATAACAATTTATTTTGTTCCTGAATGCAGGCAGAAAGGGAAGTCATATCTAGGCATTGTGGATGATTCGCAGGGTTCATGTTCTCTGCTCGATATTCCTTTAACTGATTTTGACAGCATTGTAATATATCTTTTTCTGTAGCTTTTTAAAATTTGTTCATCTGATTACCCAATTGAATCCGAAGGTAATGAGAAATTGTGCTTCCATACTCAGACATTGGGAAATCAGTGCCTTTATGTGGAGGGAGCATCAGCAGTTCTTCCACCATCAGTTGCCAGGGTAAAAATGATTCCCATTTAAGGTTTTAACTGAGAATAAGTCGTCTAATTAAAAAGTAGTAGCAGTAGATTTATAGTTTCTCCTATTAACAGGTAACACTGGATCAGCATAAGATGAAAGCACTCAGTTCTGAGATTGTTTGGTCTTCATCTCCCGATGTTTTGAAGTACGAGGCTTTCTTCAGCGTGCCAGAGTTGATTGAATTTCCAACAGAGGTTCCTGGTCAGAACGCTTATGCTTACTTTTACCCCCCAACCAATCCGCTCTACAATGCTAGCATGGAAGAGAAACCTCCGTTGTTAGTGAAGAGTCATGGTATGCTAAACTTACGACATCCCGATTTTTCAAAACTTAATCAAAATAGGTCCTCAGTTTCAATCTTGTTCATCTTAAGATCATGTGTTCGTTTCAAGTACGTGCTTTTGCCACATCATATATATTGCAATCAGCTATGCATGCCACATCTATCATTTTTGTTAACAATCTGAATCTGCAGGAGGACCTACTGCTGAATCACGTGGATCCTTAAATTTGAATATCCAATACTGGACAAGTCGAGGGTGGGCATTTGTTGATGTCAATTATGGTGGAAGCACAGGTTTGTCATTATAGTGCCAAGTTGTTTCTTCTACGTTACCTACAATTTCCCGAAATTCGCTACACTTGTACAGTTGTATTTCGTCTTGAGATTTCTTTGTTTACGATGTCCCATTCTCACCATGTGGGCATCCCATTCTCACCATGTGGGCACACATGTGGGTTTATTGTGACAAAGTGTAACATTATTTTGAAGGTTATGGTCGAGAGTATCGAGAACGGTTGTTAAGGCGGTGGGGAATTGTTGACGTTGATGACTGTTGTGGCTGTGCTAAATATTTGGTATGTTCTTTCATCGCCTATTTTATGTGAACGACTTTGGAAGCATTTCCTAAACGTTTTTGGTTTTGGGCAGGTATCTTCTGGCAAGGCAGATGTTAAGCGGCTCTGTATATCTGGAGGTTCTGCCGGAGGTTACACAACTCTTGCAGCATTGGCGTTCAGGGATGTTTTCAAAGTGGGGGCGTCCTTATACGGAGTGAGTACATCACCATTGCATCTGTGAAAACATTTAGCTAAATTACTTAACTTTATCGCTGTCCATAGTTCTTGTTATTTATTGGAATAACCGAATAAGTTCTTGAAAACTCTTGAACATACATAAGTATCAGCAAAGAAATTCAAATATATTGAACTTATTCCAATTTGACTAAAATATATATATACTTAGTCAAATTTAGAGATACCAAATATCCTTTGATCATATATAAGTTCAGTGCCATTTGTATAACTATAAAATATCTTGTAGAGAAAGGGAATTTTGACCACAATGGTGGGATAATAGTTTTGGTTTGAGGCTTATATTCTGAATCAAACTTCACCTTTGCAGATTCTAGCCTCCTCTTTTACCAACTATGTATATATATATACTGTGATACTATATGCATGTTGTATGAATACTTTATGAACAACTGATAGTTCATATTAGTTTGCCTTGGCTTTTCTTAACGCAGGTGGCTGATTTAAAAATGTTGAAGGAAGAAGGTCATAAGTTTGAATCCCGTTATATCGACAATCTTGTTGGTGAGTCAAATGCATTTAGAAAGCATTTATCTTTGTTTTTTGTTCTTTTTTTTAAATCAGCTTCCAAAATCTTGAGTACGTAACTGCAGGAGATGAAAAGGATTTCTATGAGAGATCACCAATCAATTTCGTCGATAAGTTCTCTTGCCCCATCATCCTTTTCCAAGGATTGGAAGACAAGGTTCTTATATTTTCTGCTCTTGGTTTATTCTTTTCTTTTGTTATCTTTAAACGCCCCCTTCCTCATTTTTCAGTTAATAGTGTTTGAATGCCTCTAGTAACAAAAGGCTTAATTAGATTATCATCTTCTGGATTCTTGAATTCAAAATTTGGTTCTCCATTTGCTAATTACAACGTTTTACCCTTGGATACAATAATCTTAGCTATTTGTATAAATGCTGAACAAAATGCAGGTTGTAACTCCAGATCAATCACGTAAAATCTATAAAGCATTAAAGGAAAAAGGTCTGCCTGTTGCTCTTGTTGAATATGAAGGAGAACAACACGGTTTTCGCAAGGTAAAGCTTTTGATAATTTTCATTAACAATAATAACAAGTCTTAAGGATCGTAATAGTAATTAACAGTGGATTACTTATATATATTGATTAACAGGCGGAAAACATCAAATACACACTTGAGCAACAGATGGTGTTCTTTGCCCGAGTCGTTGGAGGGTTCAAAGTTGCAGATGACATCACTCCTTTGAGAATCGACAACTTCGACCCTTAGAAAACAATGCTTATATAAAAATGTTTTAATTAGATTTGCCTTTTTATTAAGAGAAAATCCATGGTTGGATTGGACTAATGTTTATCAAAAACTATTTGGCAGCTTTTACTTTTCCAAAAACCAACTCTATCCACTAGAATGGGAATGCCCAGGACAGGAGGTGGCTTGTTCAATATCTTCTGACTCGGCAAATGACCAACATCGTTAGGGTCAATGTCGGTTTAAGCCAAATTAGTTGTTTCGCGTAGGAATTAGCCAAAGTTACTTGGTGTATGAAATTTTAGCTTCAATCATTATCATCGAATTAAGATTTAGCTTGATTAATATAATAATGTCACGCCCGTGGTAATGACCTAGTCAAAGAAAAAGGGTTTCAGTAGCTAGACCTAACTTTGAGAAACGACAATGGCGATGTCCGATCTTCCAAAGGATTTGTTGGAGGAGACACTCTCTAGGGTTCCGATAAAATCTATAAGAGCAGTAAGATCTACTTGTAAAAATTGGAACACTTTTAACCAACGATCAGAGCTTCACGAAGAAGCACTTTGGTAAAACAATAGCAACAAAGGAAAATGAGTTTCTAGTGGCCATGGTGATGGATTATAAGGTTTATTTTATGAGTGTTAATCTCAATGGAATTCACAAAAAGGACGACGACAACAACGTTAAATCATCTATCATACATAAAGCTAAACTCATTAGCCTAAACGATGATGCAGATGACCTAGTCAATAATATAGATACAATTTTTCACTGCAATGGTTTATTGTTATTGTTATGCATCACCAACGATGACATCAAGCTTGCGGTTACGAACCCTTATCTTGGGCAAACAAGGTGTATCGAACCTAGAAATGATTACCAGTTATGTGACAAGTACGCTATCGGATACGAGAAGAAGAAAAACAACTCACTTCACATCCACAAAATCTTGAGATTTAATGATGAATCCGTAGTGAACCACCGGATTTATGAGTTTGAAATCTACAATTTTAACTCCGATTCATGGAAGGTTTTTTAATTCACTCCCGAGTGGGATATCTCTTGTACTGACCTTGGCGTGTCTTTCAAGGGAAATACTTATTGGTTTGCTAAAGAGAGGTATATAGAAGAACCACTAATAGATCTCCCTGATGCTTTCTTGATCTGTTGTGATTTCACAACAGAAAGATTTGGACCGCGTCTTCCTCTTCCCTTTCATTCTTACAATCATTGTGAGGATACTATGACTCTCTCTAGTGTTAAAGAAGAGCAGCTTGCGGTATTATTTCAGAGAGAGTATACTTTGAGAATGGAGATTTGGATTACCACTAAGATTAATCCTAAAGAGGTGTCGTGGAACAAGTTGTTCTCACACACATATTTCCCGATTAAACCTTGGGCTGGGAGTTTCTTCATTGACGAGAAGCAAATTGTAGCTGTGGTTCTTTGTAAACAACTGTATCGGTTACCCGTCAAAAGCAACTTAGCTTACAGCCTTACATTTACATTACTGGAAAGGATGGATACTTCAAAGAAGTGGATCTTGGAGATACCTACCGATGAAAAATATTGTGACTACCCACTTGTGTGCTCTTATGTTCCAAGTTCAGTGCAAATCAAGCAAGATACAGGAGTGATGCAGCAGCACTCTAACGTCTTGGTGGGAAAGGATAGCCGGATTATCGGTTTCGGCTTTTTATATTTCTTATGCATAGTAGTCTTGATTTATTTATGTTTTAGATAGAAGTTTTAGATAGATTGTTATCTGCTAACTCAACATGGCCTCTGCTTTCTTTACTTATCTTTGTATATTTCCGTTTGGCTCTTCCAACATTCTTATGAAACAATTAAAATGCATTGATCTTGGACTTATTCCGGCCCTAGAAGCTTTCTTAAGCATTTGCTAATGATTAGCTGAAAATAAAAAAGTATTAGATCATATTTTCGTTTCAAGCATCTGCTTTAGTCTTGTTATTAAGTGTTTTTGCCTTGAGACATTGTGTTTTCAATGTCCCATTCTCACCATGCATGTTGGCACACAAACTTATTGTGACAAAGTGTAACATTATTTGTTACAATCTCGACGAGAGCAGTTGTTAAAGCGGTGGGGGATTGTCTACGTCGAAAAATGTTGTCGCTGTGCTAAAATAATTAGCTAATTTACTCTTTTTTTCAGTTCCTAGTTTTCATTATATATTGGAACAAGTTCTTATAAACTCGTGAGCATATAGAAGTATCAGCAAAGAAATTCTAATATATTGAATTTAATGTAATTTATACGGAAAGGCCTATTTTGATCATATATAAGTTCAGTTCAATGATGCATGAAGACCTTATAAACAACCAATAATTCATATAGTATTTGTTTGGCTTTTCTTAATGCTTCATCAAGAAGGACATAAGTTCGAATCCAGCTACATCAACAATCTTGTTGGTGAGAGAAACCATTGTACCAGTTACTCAGTTAATTTAGGTTTTAAAGTGAACCAAAATTAATTACAGTTGGGTTCAACTATCATTTAGTTCGAAAATTAAGATTACCCCAAATTTTTGGTCAACATAATATTTTGGATTTTAGTGGCAAACCAAAATATTTTGCGTTTAAATCAGAATGAGCCCAACATCAAAAACGAAACGATTAGGGTTTTCAGTTTCAAACCGGGGAAATTAGTTAGTTCGTGTAAGAATTAGCCTACTTCCAATTTTCCGGTAAAAAGAAAATTATTTATTAACCATAATCAAATTGTATTACACAGCTTAGTTAATTATCCTCAAATTTCTTCCCGTCAACGTGGCATGTCACTTGACGAGACAAACTAGCTAGTTTGGTTCCGATGACAAATAAGTACACATGAGAAAAGTGTCTTGCTCTTTTCCTAATTTCTAGATTCATTCTTGCACTTTACATAATTTACATTAAAATGTCTTGATCCCTCATTTAGTCCAACTAGATTTGAGACCCATGATTGGCCCAATGGATTTTCTATATAACTATCTTCAATTGCTGTTAGATGTATATTAAGAACGGCCAGAAGAAATCGTAGAAAAAGGTAGCTTGACCTAACTTGGCGAATAAAGGACAACTTCAACAATGTCTATGTCCGATCTTCCAAGGGATATGTTGGAAGAGATACTCTCTAGGGTTCCTATAAATTCTATAAGTGCAGTACAATCTACTTGCAAAAGCTGGAACACTTTGTTCAACGATCAGAGCTTTACAAAGAATCTCTTTGGTAAAACAATAGCTACAAAAGAAAGGGAGTCTCTGGTGGTCATGATGATGGATTATAAGGTTTATTTAATGAGTGTCAATCTCCATGGAATTCACAAAGACGACGACGATGACAACAACGTTAAATCATCTATCATGCATAAAGCTAAACTCATTAGCCTAAACGATGATGGAGATGATCAAATCAATCATATAGACAGAATCTTTCACTGCAACGGTTTATTGTTATTGATATGCTTCACCAAACATATCATCAAGCTTGCGGTAATGAACCCTTATTTTGGGCAAACAAGATGGATCAAACCCAGAAACACTTACCACTATTGTGATACGTTCGTTATCGGATACGAGAAGAAGATGAACAAGTCACTTCGTACCCACAAGATCTTGAGATTTAATGATGGATACATCGAGAACGACCAAATTTATGAGTTTGAAATATACAATTTTAACTCTGATTCATGGAAGGTTTTTGATTTCACTCCTGACTGGAATATCTTTTTAATCACCTTGGCGTGTCTCTCAAGGGAAATACTTACTGGTTTGCTACAGACATGTATAAAAAAGAACCAATAACAGATCTCCCTTATTTCTTGATCTGTTTTGATTTCACAACGGAGAGATTTGGACCGCGTCTTCCTCTACCATTTCACTCTTACGATGATGGTGACGATACTGTGACTCTCTCTAGTGTTAGAGATGAGCAGCTTGCAGTGTTATTTCATTGCGAGGATACTTGGAGAATGGAGATTTGGGTTACGACTAAGATTAATCCTAAAGAGGTCTCATGGAACAAGTTGTTCTTACACATTCATTACCCGTTTACGGATTGGGCTGGGAGTTTCTTCATTGACGAGAAGACAAATGTAGCTGTGGTTCTTTGTAAATTTCATCCTTGGTTACCCGTCCGAAGCAACATAGCTCACATCGTTGGAAAAGATGGATACTTTAAAGAAGTGGATCTTGGAGAACATACACATAACAAACATTGTTACTATCCACTTGTGTGCGCTTACGTTCCAAGTTCAGTGCAAATCAAGCAAGATGCACCAGTGATGCAGTATCAACCTAACGTCTTGGTGTCAAACGATGACGTTATTATCGAGCAAGATGCACCAGTGATGCAGCATCACCCTAAGGTCTTAGTTCCAAACGATGACGGGATTATCGGTTTGGGTTATTTTGCGTTTTTTTATTTCTTAGGCATAGTCTTGAGTTATTTATGTTTTAGATAGACTTTTCTCTGAGTTCCAAGCTAAGTCTACCGATGGGCGTTTGTTTCTAACTCTTCTATGTGTTTACTGTTTAATAAGAAAGAAGTATTCGTTTCAATTATATGTGCTTTAGCAACATAAAATAATTAATGCAATTAGCTATACATGCCACATTTATCGATTATTGTCCTCCCACATGTTTTTTATTGTTATGGTTTCAAGTTATTTCTTCCACTTTAGCTGCATATTTCCATTTGGTTAATCCCGGTGTTATTCAAACTTGTTCCGTTGTATCTTTTTGTCATTAATATAGTTACTCTACTAGGATTAGAATCTGGATTGTATATTATAACAAAATCTAAGAGCATTCTCATCGGTCTGTGAGGATCTCAAAAAAGGATATCTATTTATTATGTTTTCTGGAGAAGAGATTAAACAAGCAGCTTTTAGTGTCAAAGGGGAGAGTACTCTGGTCATTTTTATCAAGCTTATTGGAATATTGTTGGTCCTCAAGTCATAGAAGAGGTTCAACAGTTTTTTGAATCTGGTTCTCTCCCTATGGAATGGAATTTCACACAGATTTGTTTGATTCCCAAGAAGCCAAA